TCACAATCCCTGAACCATGTTATATTCCCTTCTGACCAGCCCTTACTGTAATGCTATAGCCCTAAATGAAGCAAGTCTAGATTTGCCACAGTCTGCCTCACAGTCTCTGAACCATGCTAATTTCCCTTCCGCCCAGCCCTTACTGTAATGCTATAGTCCTGAATGAGGCAAGTCTAGATTTCCCAAGGGTTCAGAATCCACCATCTCACTGGGGCTCTTTTCAATGTAAAGGTGGTTGTTTGTTTCTGTCAGAATTTTATATTTTCATAGACAAGATTGAGACATTGTATGTTCAAATCAGTTTATATGTAAAATTTTAATTACTGTTAAGTTTTCTCTATTCCAAGATTCTCAATCACTTGTCAGCCTTTACAAAAAGTATTGTAATGGTGAATGAGAGAATGGTAAGAGAACGTGAGTTGTGAATGGTGAGTAAGTGAATGGTGAGGGAGGTTAGAATCATTCTTCAGCAACCCATGCTTGTCGTAAAAGGCGACTATGCTTGTAAGAGGCAACTAACGGGATTGGGTGGTCAGGCTCGCTGACTTGGTTGATGCATGTCATCCTATCCCAACTGCATGGATCGATGCATATGATGTCAATCACTGGATTGTCTGGTCCAGATTAGATTATTTACAGACCACATTCATATAGCTGGTATATTGCTGAGTGTGTTGTTAAACAACAAACAAGCAAACAAACATGTTCATCATAAACTGTAATCTAAGTGTATTACATGACCTTTCAACCATATCTTCATGAGACCTGATCAGTTTATATCTTAATCTACACATTTTGTAGGTCAATATGTCAAAAGGCAGAAGGCAAAATGGCTGAAATTGTGTTAAAACAGTTAAACCTGTTAAACCTACCTCACTGTAGTGACTGTAACTTATCTTGCGCCCCACATCAACACCCACCCCTACTAGCACCCCCACCCCCACCCCTACCCCCACCCCCACCCCCAGACATGCTGAAGGTTACAAGCCTCACCCCAGGGCTAACTGGTTCATGAGAACCAGGAACTACTTCAATCACAATGTACTGGAACATAATCTTCATCCTTTTGTGCAGTTTTAAAAACAAGGTCAAGTGATATGATCAGTCCTATGTGTGACTCCCTTGGATGCATGGTGTGTGTTTTCATATTTCGTCTCCAGTAATGTAGACCGCTGGACTAATGGTGTTACTATATCTGTTATCACTTCTTGCTTGATGTTTGGTCTCCAGTAGACTGTTGGACTAATGGTATTCCACTGTGGTGTTGCTTTATCTGTTATCACTTCTTGCTTGATGTTTGGTCTCCAGTAGACTGTTGGACTAATGGTATTCCACTGTGGTGTTGCTATATCTGTTATCACTTCCTGCTTGATGTTTGGTCTCCAGTACTGTAGACTGTTGGACTAATGGTATTCCACTGTGGTGTTGCTATATCTGTTATCACTTCTTGCTTGATGTTTGGTCTCCAGTAGACTGTTGGACTAATGGTATTCCACTGTGGTGTTGCTATATCTGTTATCACTTCCTGCTTGATGTTTGGTCTCCAGTACTGTAGACTGTTGGACTAATGGTATTCCACTGTGGTGTTGCTATATCTGTTATCACTTCTTGCTTGATGTTTGGTCTCCAGTACTGTAGACTGTTGGACTAATGGTATTCCACTGTGGTGTTGCTTTATCTGTTATCACTTCTTGCTTGATGTTTGGTCTCCAGTAGACTGTTTGACTAATGGTATTCCACTGTGGTGTTGCTATATCTGTTAGCACTTCTTGCTTGATGTTTGGTCTCCAGTACTGTAGACTGTTGGACTAATGGTATTCCACTGTGGTGTTGCTTTATCTGTTATCACTTCTTGCTTGATGTTTGGTCTCCAGTAGACTGTTTGACTAATGGTATTCCACTGTGGTGTTGCTATATCTGTTATCACTTCCTGCTTGATGTTTGGTCTCCAGTACTGTAGACTGTTGGACTAATGGTATTCCACTGTGGTGTTGCTATATCTGTTAGCACTTCCTGCTTGTTCTGGGAGTGAAATATGACACATCAGTATCTGATTGGCTGCATCTTCTTCCTGGTCCAGATAATGTGGCTTTGATTACTTAGGTCTTCTTCACAACATTGTGATAGAACATTAGTCTGCCATTCCGTCTCTGGAACAAATATATCCACTACAGCCCATGCAAGTATTTGATTACTGCAGTCTGAAATAGAAGAACGTTGTCTGGGCTCCTTTTTATTATATTCTATAACTATAATTCAACAACTGTGGGTTTTTTCATTAAAATATATTAATTTCAGAGACTAGATGTTAGTCTGATATGGCCTGTACTTTTGGTTTGCAAGTTGTCTAAAACACTACTTGCTAATGAAGTATGTTGTGTTATTGTTATTTAGGGATATGTATTGCCAGTTAAACAAGTTCAATTGCATTGATAACAGACATGTAAATCTAATTTTCCCCACATTTGCAGAATTTTTTTCTGTTTTTTGGTTTTGTCAACAGGGTACATGTCAGGTGCATGTCTGTCTGTCATGCTACTGTAATCCCTTGTGTAGGAGTACCTTGTTTATAGTCTCCATAGCATGTGACATGCATGATAACCTACTGGCTGTTTGTGTCACTCAATATGAAGTGTATGAAATTGTGGTAACACCACGTAGGAGGTATTACAACGATTGTAACACCTTGCAGGAGGGCTTACAATCAATGTAAACCCTTGATAGAACAAAAACTATGAACAGCCTACAAGACGCACATGCAGATTTCGCACCGTTGCGAAACCCACGTGCTGAGGTCACCGGTTTCACTGAACCAAGTTCACGACTGCAGGCGATATTTCATCTCTGATACAGGTTATACATTTGAGAGTTTTTATTACAGTTATTTAATTAAAAACATTGTCTATGCGATAAGTCGGTTTATTAGTTGAACAAACCATTTCTCCTCGGGATTACCAGCGATTGTAAACCCTGTAAACCCTACGGCCCCCTCGGTATGTCACCTCATGTCAGGGTTTACAATCGCTGGTAATCCCTCGTAGAAATGGTTTCTCCTATACTTAAAACATAACTAACCTAAAGACTGGTGCCTAACGATTGTCATGATACTTATCAAGACCCCGTAAAGATACCTGATGGTCAATGGTGAATGTGACATGACATGTTTGTTACGTCACAGTTGTCTTGTTCACATTTCGACTTACATCCATCGGTCACGTGATAGATCTAATTGTCATACTAATATTGCTGGTCACGAACAAGAGACTGAGCCATACATACAATGGGCTGTGGAATAGTGAAGTCTTTTGTTATATGTCCTTTTGAGGTATATCCCCAAAGGCTTGAGTCTACTGAGCTAAATGAGCAGGTCACAGTGTGTGGCCGGGTTTGGTGCTGACTTTGTAATGGTGCCTGGTTTGTCTGGTCCAGATTGGATATTTAGAAGCAGCTGTTATTATTAGCTTCAAAGCAACATTTGCTCACGTCCAATAGGAAAAACAAGAACTTCCTATACTGTATTCGACGTAATAAGCGCCCAGGGCGCTCTCAATATTAGAAATAGGGGGCTCTTAAATTTCGGGGTTTATGCTGACAGCCTGAAATGTTTATGTATGACAGATATATTTTTCCAGAATTTAATTGCCCATAATTAAGGGTGCATATAACACACGAGTGTGCATATACGCGAATAAATAAGTCTTGTGTACATTGATCAATCGAAAGGGGTGCTAATTAGGATTGTTTACTAGCCAATATATCAGCAAATATCGCTATGGGCGCTTATTAGAGCGGGCGCTTATTACGTCAAATACGGTAGTTTCCATGCCTGTTTGGTGACAATTAATTGTATGCATTCTAAAACACTTTAAAAGGAAGCAACTATGCTTGTCATAAGAGAGTCTCTAAGAGACGACTAACAGGATGAGGCAAGTCTAGATTTTCCAAGGGTTCAGAATCCACCATCTCAATGGGGCTCTTTTCAGTGTAAAGGTTGTTGTTTGTTTCTGTCAGAATTATATATTTTCATAGACAAGATTGGGACATTGTATGTTCAAATCAGTTTATTTGTAAAAGTTTTATTACTGTTAAGTTTTCTCTATTCCAAGATTCTCAATCACATGTCAGCCATTTAGAAGTTACAAAAAGTATTGTAATGGTGAATGAGAGAATGGTAAGAGAACGTGAGTTGTCAATGGTGAGTAAGTGAATGGTGAGTGAGGTTAGAATCATTCTTCAGCAACCCATGCTTGTCGTAAAAGGCGACTATCGAGATTGGGTGGTCAGACTCGTTGACATGGTTGATGCATGTCATCGTATCCTGATTGCAAGGATCAATGCTCATGATGTTAATAACTGGATTGTCTGGTCCATTAAATACAGACTGCAGTCATATAGCTGGCATATTGCTCAGTGTGGTGTTTAACAACAAACAAACAAACACACTTTGAAAACACATATTCCTCATTTTGTAATATTTGGCAAAATGGACACAATAATAAAATTAACTTGTTCATGTATTTAGGCAAGATATCATCAAACACAACATTGTCATTGTACAGGTTTAAGTCTCATTCGATGTGTTTCGAATTGACTTGAGCACCAAACACATCTTTTGTGATTTTGGTTGCGTCAGAATACCATATTCGACGTAATAAATTAGACATAGGGGGCTCTTATTAAAATATTATATTGGTGAAAAAAAAACAGAGTTGAAAGATCAATTTCGTGGTTTATGCTGACACCCTGAAATGTTTATATACAACAGATTTATTTTTCCAGAATTTAATGATAATAAACGGTGCATATAACACACGAGTGCGTATTATACGCGAATAAATAAGTCTTTTGTACATTGATTTATCGGAAGGGGAGCTGATTGGGATTGTTCACTCGCCAATATATTAGCAAATAACGCCATGGGCACTTATTAGAGTGGGGAGCTTATTACGTGGAATACGGTGGTATATGAATATTGATTAGCTCTCCTTTTACTGTGACAGTGTCAATGACGTGGACAAAAGTGGAGCTTCAGGGCCCTCCGCCGCCAAGTCGTCTGGACTTCGGCATGTGTGTCATCAACCTCTTCCGATCACAAAACCCCAACCAACAGCTGAGCACCGACATCGCAGCAACGTCAAGACAGGCCCAGGATGTTCTAGACACCGAACTGAAACCGGGAAGTGCCAGCTCCCGGGACTCCAGGCAAGACAATGCTCCAGGTGAGTCAGTGAACTGTGACTGTCTGGGTGACTCAATGAGCTGAAACTGTTGGGTGAGTCAGTGAGCTTTTAGTGTCTGGTGAAGTCAGCGAGCTGTGACTGTCTGGTTGAGTCAGTGTGCTGTGACTGTTTGGGTGAGTCAGTGAGCAGTAACTGTCTGGGTGACTCAATGAGCTGAAACTGTTGGGTGAGTCAGTGAGCTTTTAGTGTCTGGTGAAGTCAGCGAGCTGTGACTGTCTGGTTGAGTCAGTGTGCTGTGACTGTTTGGGTGAGTCAGTGAGCAGTAACTGTCTGGGTGACTCAATGAGCTGTAACTGTTGGGTGAGTCAGTGAGCTTTTAGTGTCTGGTGAAGTCAGCGAGCTGTGACTGTCTGGTTGAGTCAGTGAGCTGTGACTGTCTTGGTGAGTCAGTGAGCTGTAACTGTCTGGTTGACTTAATGAGCTGTAACTGGCTGGGTGACTCAATGACCTTTAACTGTCTGGGTGAGTCAGTGAGCTTTTAGTATCTGGTGAAGTCAGCGAGCTGTGACTGTCTGAATAAGTCAGTGAGCTGTAACTGCGGGGGTGAGTCAGTGAGCTGTGACTGGGTGAGTCAGTGAGCTGTAACTGTCTGGGTGAGTCAGTGAACTGTGACTGTCTGGGTGAGTCGGTGATCTGTGACTGTCTGGGTGAGTCAGTTACCTGTAGCTGTCTGGGTGAGTCAGTGATCTGTGACTTTCTGGGTGAGTCAGTGAACTGTAGCTGTCTGGGTGACTCAATGAGCTGTAACTGTCTTGGTGTGTCAGTGAGCTGTGACTGTCTGGGTGAGTCAGTGAGCTGTGACTGTCTGAATAAGTCAGTGAGCAGTAACTGCGGGGGTGAGTCAGCGAGCTGTGACTGTCTGAATAAGTCAGTGAGCAGTAACTGCGGGGGTGAGTCAGTGAGCAGTAACTGTCTGGGTGACTCAATGAGCTGTAACTGTTGGGTGAGTCAGTGAGCTTTTAGTGTCTGGTGAAGTCAGCGAGCTGTGACTGTCTGGTTGAGTCAGTGAGCTGTGACTGTCTTGGTGAGTCAGTGAGCTGTAACTGTCTGGTTGACTTAATGACCTTTAACTGTCTGGGTGAGTCAGTGAGCTTTTAGTATCTGGTGAAGTCAGCGAGCTGTGACTGTCTGAATAAGTCAGTGAGCTGTAACTGCGGGGGTGAGTCAGTGAGCTGTGACTGGGTGAGTCAGTGAGCTGTAACTGTCTGGGTGAGTCAGTGAACTGTGACTGTCTGGGTGAGTCAGTGATCTGTGACTGTCTGGGTGAGTCAGTTACCTGTAGCTGTCTGGGTGAGTCAGTGATCTGTGACTTTCTGGGTGAGTCAGTGAACTGTAGCTGTCTGGGTGACTCAATGAGCTGTAACTGTCTTGGTGTGTCAGTGAGCTGTGACTGTCTGGGTGAGTCAGTGAGCTGTGACTGTCTGGTTGAGTCAGTGAACTGTAAATGTCTGGGTGAGTCAGTGAGCTGTAAATGTCTGGGTGAGTCAGTGAGCTGTAACTATCTGAGTGACTTAATGAGCTGTAACTGTCTGGTGGACTTAATGAGCTGTAACTGTCTGGGTGAGTCAGTGAGCTGTAAATGTCTGGGTGAGTCAGTGAGCTGTACCTGTCTGTGTGAGTCAGTAAGCTGTAACTGTCTGGGTGAGTCAGTGAGCTGTAACTGTCTGGGTGACTCAATGAGCTGTAACTGTCTTGGTGTGTCAGTGAGCTGTAACTATCTGGGTGACTTAATGAGCTGTAACTGTCTGGTTGACTTAATGAGCTGAAACTGTCTGGGTGAGTGAGTGAGCTGTAACTTTCTGGGTGAGTCAGTGAGCTGTACCTGTCTGTGTGAGTCAGTAAGCTGTAACTGTCTGGGTGTGTCAGTGAGCTGTAACTGTCTGGGTGACTCAATGAGCTGTAACTGTCTTGGTGTGTCAGTGAGCTGTAACTATCTGGGTGACTTAATGAGCTGTAACTGTCTGGTGGACTTAATGAGCTGTAACTGTCTGGGTGAGTCAGTGAGCTGTAACTTTCTGGGTGAGTCAGTGAGCTGTACCTGTCTGTGTGAGTCAGTAAGCTGTAACTGTCTGGGTGAGTCAGTGAGCTGTAACTGTCTGGGTGACTCAATGCGCTGTAACTGTCTGGGTGAGTCAGTGAGCTGTGACTGTGGCAGTCAGTGAGCTGTAACTGTCTGTGTGAGTCAGTGAGCTGTAACTGTCTGGTCAAGTCAGTGAGCTGTAACTGTCTGGGTGACTCAATGAGCTGTAACTGTCTGGGTGAGTCAGTGAGCTGTGACTGTGAGTCAGTGAGCTGTAACTGTCTGGTTGAGTCAGTGAGCTGTTACTGTCTGGGTGACTCAATGAGCTGTAACTGTCTGGGTGACTCAATGCGCTGTAACTGTCTGGGTGAGTCAGTGAGCTGTGACTGTGGCAGTCAGTGAGCTGTAACTGTCTGTGTGAGTCAGTGAGCTGTAACTGTCTGGTCAAGTCAGTGAACTGTAACTGTCTGGGTGACTCAATGAGCTGTAACTGTCTGGGTGAGTCAGTGAGCTGTGACTGTGAGTCAGTGAGCTGTAACTGTCTGGTTGAGTCAGTGAGCTGTTACTGTCTGGGTGACTCAATGAGCTGTAACTGTCTGGGTGAGTCAGTGAGCTGTTACTGTCTGGGTGACTCAATGAGCTGTAACTGTCTGGGTGAGTCAGTGAGCTGTGACTGTCTGGTTGAGTCAGTGAACTGTAACTGTCTGGGTGACTTAATGAGCTGTGACTGTCTGGGTGAGTCAGTGAGCTGTAACTGTCTGGATGACTTAATGAGCTGTAACTGTCTGGGTGACTTAATGAGCTGTGACTGTCTGGGTGAGTCAGTGAGCTGTAACTGTCTGGGTGACTTAATGAGCTGTAACTGTCTGGGTGACTTAATGAACTGTGTCTGTCTGGGTGAGTCAGTGAGCTGTAACTGTCTGGGTGAGTCAGTGAGCTGTAACTGTCTGGGTGAGTCAATGAGCTGTAACTGTCTGGATGAGCTCTGTCTGGGTGAGTCAGTGAGCTGTTAATGTCTGAGTGAGTCAGTGAGCTGTTTCTTTCTGGGTGAGTCAGTGAGCTGTGAGATTCTAGGTGATTGTAAGTCCTCTGTTTTTTTATTTAATAGCTCAAGTTCATGCACTTTTAGGAGCAGCTGTATGGAAGCCTAAATGACCTAGATAAGCATGTTCAAACAGTTAATTTCCTCAAAATATACAATATTTTATGGATTCTTACAAATCTATGTTTGTTTGAGCAGAATGAATTTTTAGTAAGATGCCATGTTAGGTTTATGATAATGACTATTATTTCTGTTCTTCTCAGACCTAGCCAGCATTGGAGCCGACCTTGAATTAGCTGGAGCAGAGAGTCTAGACGCACTGGGAGCGAAGTCTAAGGGAGATAACTCTGAAGACCTAGAACAGCAAGCACCTGCAGCTGACAAGAAGAAACTCACCCTGTGTCTGGTGAATGGTGGGATGGACACTGAAGGAGAGATATTTGACGACACTCTCGTCATTCTGCTACAGGGGTCGTAGTGCTTGACTAGATTCACTGTTACAATGTGGTACTCTGTGCGTCTTGCATGAGGCTATAAGACCCTGGCTGTCATGCACTGATTGCAGCAAGCCCATATGACAGCATTTCATGTCTACATCAAGACATGGCCCACTTGTGACACAAGCGTAGCACACGTTTATACCAAGGGAAGACACAGAAAGACAAATGTATCCTGCCTGGGAACCCATGTTATGTTTCATCCGTAGAGCCATACCTGTGTGCTTGATCACACATTGCTGATAGCTCCCAGACAGCTTAGGCTAAAAAACATAACAGTCTTGGTTCTCAGGCACCACCCGCGTCATCATAAAGTCTACCGTATGTTTTGTTTTTATATCCATTTTAAAAAAAATCTAAAAATCCTTATACTTAAACACAATGCACCAAAAAAAATTGAAAAATGGAAACAAAAACGAAACGTACGATGAACTTTATGATGATGTGGGCAGTGCCTGAGAACCAAGACTTATGTTTTTTTTAGCCTTATAATTGTGAAACATAGGGGGATCCAGAGGAGGACCCCCCATTTTGAAAACCAAATGTAGTATGTTGTTGACAACAACCCTCGGAGGGAGAGAGTATTTTGATATTTTTGGGACCCCTCCTTTTACAGAATGCTGGATCTGCCCTTGTTTGAGACAAGCAGTTGCGAATGTCCAAAAGGATGGTGGCGTTGGGGTATACATTAGAATGTGTTTCCTCCACGGATCATGTACCGTATTCGACCAATAAAGCTCCCAGGGCGCTTAAAATAAAGACAGAAGGGGTGGGCGCTTATTGGGACCAATTCAGAGTCAAATTGGCGTAAATTCATCAGTAAGCCTTAAGTCACAAATATCTAAAATAAACAGAATACAGTCATGCCCCGCTTATAGGGACCTCAAATATCCGGAAACCTCGGGGGGGGGGGGGGGGGGGGGGGGGCTTATTGGGTCGAATACGGTACTTAGGATTACAACTTCTTTATAAGGCTGAATAAGTTAATTACTTGATTTTCATAATTGACTGTCTCACTCCCAAACACCCTGCCTCACGTACATGTTTGTGCCAAAGTACCTACCGATGAAGAAATCGCTATGCGTGTAACCTTAAACCTTGAATTGATGAAACACACGGTATATACATAGTCCTAAATATTTGTTTTATGTGAATCACATCCCTGGATAGTTAATGTCCACACATACCTGATGAGTTTGTTTAATAAGACAATTAAAATATAATATGAATATGCAAGATACCTCTTGCCTTCATTTTTGTACAAAATATGGTTGAAAATCAAATTATTATTCGTGGAATTATCTGGGTGTTTTTACTTGAAAGGAAGCAATCATTTAAGAATTGACCTTCATTTCATTGAGTTCATTGGAGTATGAACCTTCATAGAGTAAGGGCCAAACTGTATGAACTTCGGAGCTTGCGACGTGTTTACGTCATTTCAAGAACACAGTCTCGTGAAAAACGTATGAACATCCAAATTGTGTTGTTCATACACTTAAGAACGTCAATTGCGCGGTCATGTGACCAGCCTCTCGTCCAATGGAAAAGCTGTATATCGTGTAAACTTCAAATTAAAAAATTATTTATGTTTGAGTTGGTAAAGGCGTGGAATTTATGGGAAGGTTATAAAGAAAAAGGGCAAGTATTTTGGGAGGATCACCCAAAGTATGTGACTTTTCTTTTCTCTTCATACATGACACTGTCATACCACGACATATATATGTAAAGTTGTGTGAAATATTTTCCAAATTTGATATGACAGGAAACAAATCAGATCCAACATCAGTGGAAGAGTAATGTGCTGGTGTTGAAGGCAAATTATCAGCTGATGTGTGTATATGTATATATGTTGTGGGTATTAGAGATACAGGGTGAAGTTTTGAATGCCGGGTGAATTGCTGTTAAAATATGTCAGTAGTACACACACTGGTTCATCAAGATCTATGTTTTTGTTTCAAATTTGAGATGAACCATCTGTTATTTAACAGTTGAATAGATATAGGATTATAGATATTCAAGGTAACAATAAACGCGGTTCGTCTGTACTTTGTGTGGAATGGTCAGATTACCAGAGAAGGACTGCCATATCAATTTCATATCATTGCTTGATCTCAAACAAATCTTACATATCAAAATTTTAATTCAAGCCATTCAGAATCAATTTAATACAGGAATGACATTAATTTAGACTTCTGTATTCTCTCAATGTACATATGATAGTACCTTTATCTTGCTTGGCACGTTTACCTGGTTCTGATGCATGCTGGGAGAGTTGTCAGAAAGCCAAGGGAGATAACTCTGATAATTGTCGGATATTGAACTATCAACATGTATGTGGCTACAAACATGTCTCTTCATGATACAAAGTATCTGGGGGTAAGAATGAGTTGTGAACAAAATGATCATCTGTACATCATGAATGTCTCTATTGATACTGTTGATAGTGAAGGGTGACATCGAATGTCAACTGTGGATAGATCCATCAATCGTCACACCCCAAATTAACATACACTTTAGGTTTCTGGTTGGTTGGTTTGTTGTTTAACGCCGCACTCAGCAATATTCCAGCTATATGACGGCGGTCTGTAAAATAATCAAATCTGGACCAGACAATCCAGTGATTGACCTCATGAGCATCGATCCACGCAATTGGGATCGATGACATGCATCCACCAAGTCAGCGAGCCTGACCACCCGATCCCGTTAGTCACCTTTTACGACAAGCATAGTCACCTTTTACGGCAAGCATGGGTTGCTAAAGACCTATTCTACCCCGGAATCTTCACGGGTCCTTTAGGTTAATGAAATACATATGATGGTAGGCAGGTGAGGGAGAAACCATATTTATCCTCCATACTCCCATTAGTAAAATAAACCTACTATGACAGTATGACAGTCTTTATGTAAGAAAGAAACGACGAGTGGGAGTTGTATATTGTACAATAAAACACTGCTTGTTCTTTGAGGTTTATGGCATAGCTATCTTAGGCTTAAAGAATTGGTTCTCAGGCAAAGGTGTTTGAAAATATAGTGAGGGCAGGCGTTGTTGTTTGTTTTTTTGTTGCTCAAACTAGTATGTAACCAAATAAACAGATGTGTAACCAAATAAACTGTTGTGTACAATCAAGCTGGGAAAGCACCTGCCAACATAAATGTATTCCTTGATAAGTAAAATACTTGAATTAATTATTTGACTACTGTTGGACTTGAGGAATTTTTTTTGTTTTTTTTTAAAATGGAAATAAAAATGAAACGTGCGGCAAACTTTATGATGATCCGGGTGGAGTCTGGGAACCAAGACTATTATTTTTTAACCTTATATGGGCATTTAGAAGTTATCTTGGCAAGGAGTATTATGGACAAGTAGTAGCTCTGAAATGTGTGGATAATGAAGAACTTGTTATCAACATACTCATCACAATCTCCCATGGATACAGTACTTAACATAACATCTTGTTAAACAAACATCATACAAACTGACTTAGTCTGTCTTACAGACCCTGATACAAATACTATGCAAGTCTATAATGTTTGACAAGTCTAGATTTCTGCAGTATCAGAAAATGAAGAGTCTCTGGGCTCATTTTTATTAAGATAATTTAACAACTATTTTTTTTTCTGTATATGTTCATTTCAGAGACTAGATGTTAGTCTAAAACAAATCTTAGTCTTCTAAAACAAATATCTATATATGTACAAACTAATATTACGTCTAAGGTTGTCTCATGGTTGGAATGGAAGGAAAGCATCTTGATAAGCCAACATATATTTTATAACTATTTGTAGTCACAGAATCAAAATATTTGTCTCATGACTGGTGCGGAGTGATATGAAGATGCATTGTTGTTGCCTTGTGATCTCATGTTTGCATGTATTATATCTTGTCTGTATACTAGAGGGGCGGTCGGGTAGCCTAGTGGTTAAAGCGTTCGCTCGTCATGCCGACGACCCGGGTTCGATTCCCAACTTGGGTACAATGTGTGAAGCCCATTTCTGGTGTCCCCCGCCGTGATATTGCTGGAATATTGCTAAAAGCGGCGTAAAACCATACTCACTCACTCACTGTATACTACACTTTGAGCAGCTTCAAGTAACTGGGATTTAAGGCCTAGGACGTCATCACTTTAATTAGTCTGGGGACTAAACATTTACAATTACACTTAACAACATACAAATATACTATTCAAATGTTTAGAGATATATTTAGATTGTTTATACTATATGAGCTTATAAAAATAAGAGAATTGGTTCTCAAGCAATGACTTTTGAAAATATGGTGCAGGCAGGCGGTGTTTTTATTTGTTTGTTTGCTTGCTCAAACTAGTATGTAGCCAAATAGTCGTGCACCATCAACCTGGGAAAGATCCTCCCTACACAAACAAGCATACAAACTCCTATTGTTGCCATGACAACACGAGATGTGCAGTAAAGCAGTGTGCATGTAAAGGGAAGTAACTGCATGCAATATTGGATTGGATTGTTTTTAAGTATTAGGAGTTTGTTTTTTAAAATGGACATAAAAACGAAACATGGGCTGACTTTATGACGATGCGGGCAGTGCCTGAGAACCAAGACTATTATTTATTTTAGCCTTACATAACACATTTTATGGGCATCATTGTGGTGTACTATGGAATAATATTTATCCCTATCAAAAGTTGAAAAGTATACAGTGTGATTTGCCATACCATATTACAAAGTAGAGACAATTTATGGATAACAACTTCTTTCGTTAAAGGCGAAGTTTTGGTACAGATCCTTAAACCGTTGTCAAGCAAGGCTGAATAATGTCATACTGTTGTTATTCATTATTGCTTGACAACGGAAAAGGATCTATACCGAAATGTTGCCTTTACAGTAAATAAAGAAGTTGTTAGCCATATATTGTCTCAACTTTGTCATCCATCAACTTCTAAGTAATGCCTGTCAAACATACTATATTAGTTTCTGTTGAATTTCTAAGATTGTTTAAATTGTGACAAAACAGTTTTGGCATTCTATTAAAGAACTTTCATTTCAAAAGAGCCAGGAATATTGCCTGTACATGCCTTCATTGTCTGGAAGATGTTACATATCATTCAGTTCTGGAACATCAAGGCATGAGAGTTACTGTTTGCATGTGTGAGTTGTGATGACTTCACTCCTGTCTCTGCCCCCTACATTGGGGAGGATGGTTGCAGGACAATATCCACCTTGAATGCTTATTGAATGGAGGCCCCATGTCAACCTGTCACAGATATCACTGTTTCTACTTATTAAAAGGTTTACAAGTTCACATCTTTTTGTGTTATTTGTGTTCAAACAATCAAGTGACATAGTGAGTTTATTGCTTGAATGTAACACTTTTTAGGCCACACTTTTTTGACCAGTGAAGATCCGGGTTAGAACAGGCAGACGATCCCAATGTTGAAAATCAGACATCTGGTCAGCAGCGTGAGGAAGCGCCTTGCAAATGTGAGAGTGAGTGAGTGAGTTGCGTTTGACACCGCTTTTAACAGTATTCATGTTATATCGCAGCGTGTCAGCTTAATGTGGGAGGAAAGCCCGAAGTGATGCAGGTCTCAGACGTTTCCCACTTCGGTGAAACCCACGAGCACGGGTATGGTGCTGACAAACCTAGAAACATAATCAGGGAGAACTGGGATTCGAACCCACAATCACACGGTTCTGGCGTGCCCAAGGGGCGCAACTCTGCACAGCAAATCGCAGCACCTCATACGACAGTGCCAACCAAGCCCGCACCTTGCAAATGTCATTCATGAGAGGGATGGATACTCCAGAAACAGATTGCAGTCAGTGCCCCTCCACAGAGGAAATGACATCATCATTTGTATAATGCTTGCCAGACAGTTCTTTCGTCACGTTTGGAAAGAGGTGGAAATGTGACAAAGTCAAATCTGATGAATATGGAGGAGTGAGTGAATATGGTTTTACACCTCTTTTAGCAATATTCCAGCACTATCAAAGCGGGGGACACCAGAAATGGGCTTCACACATTGTACCCATGTCGAGAATCGAACGCTTTAACCACTAGGCTACCCGACCGCCCGAATATGGAGGATGTTCAATGAGTTCAGCTAAAAACAACAATCATTAACTCGGTCTGTAATACTTTTCATGCACATACATCAATATTTCCATCTGCCGCAACAGTATTTCATTTAAAACACAGTGTGTCAGCTTGATGTGGGAGGAAAGCCTGAAGTGTTGCAAGTCTTAAGACTTTTATTACAATTGAAGACCAGGACCATGGATCCGGTGCTTACAAACCCAGAAACATAAATCCGAGCATAAGACCATAGGTTTCTGGTGTACCAAACAGACGAAACTGCACAGCGTCTATAGATGACTGGGCTACCCATGCACCCATGTGAAGTAAACAATGGGGGAATATGTGACTATGTTTGCCAAGCTTGACGACTGAAAATTCCATGTACAGATTTCTCTGGATCTATGAGAGTTTATCTTGAAAGTATCCTAACTGTGGTGGCATGACACCAACACAGGTAGTCAGACCTGACGTCCGTCAATCAAGTGATTGTTCGAAGTGTGATCTATTTGTCATAGCGACTGATTTACGACACCCATTGTCTGAAGAACATTTAATTGCAAAGGCTCATTACCCTGGAGCCATGACATCTATATGCCTTGAAACACTTAATTGCTGTTATTTATAAGATGCTAATCCTAACTGTTAATCCCCATTTTTGTGTACATCGACCGTCTGCCATCCTGCTGATGAATTACTGTTTACATTTATATTTATTACTTACTAAATGTCAGGTGACCTTGGCTATATAAGCCTTGGTCCAGAGAGATTGAGGAGAAGGAGAAAAGAAAGGTCTTACCCTGAGCCTAGCTAGGGTTAGGCTGGGTGCTCCGGGGCACCTAGACAACAACCACTACCACTATGTGCTGACCTGGCACATAGTGTCTTTTGTATGTATATATCTCAAGTATAAAGTAAAACTGTATATACCACAAGCCATCGTCTCCAAGTTGTCACTTCCTACTGAGAACCATACGTCGGCCCCTTGCATATACGAGAGTGCAAATTATTCATTAATCAACGTCAGACCTCACGCGTTGATATATTGTTCAAAATATTATCTATTGTTCATGATGTCTGAGTGAGTTGGATTTAACACCACTTTGAACAGTATTCCAGTTATATAAAAGCGTGTCAGGTTGATGTGGGGGGAAAGTGAGTGAGTATGGTTTTACGCCCCTTTGGGCAATATTACAGCAATATCACGGCGGGGGACACCAGAAATGGGCTTCACACATTGTACCCATGTCCGGAATGGAACCCGGGTCTTCGGCATGACGAGCGAACGCTTTAACCACTAGGCTACCTGACCGCCACTGTGGGAGGAAAGCCTGAAGTGATGCAGGTCTCAGATGTTTACCACTTTGATGAAACCCACGAGTACAGGTATGGTGCGGACAAACCAAGAAACATAATCAGGGCGAACTGGGGTTGGAACCCACAATGATGATGTTGGCACTGGTTGACATTATGTCATAAGAACAGTAGGTTACCTTCAGTGAAGTATGTGTTTGAAACTTACAGATTCACTGTCCTTTGAGAAAGAGTCAAAGCTTTTGGGTTTCGGCGTTACTTCATTAGGGTCAGGTTTTTTTAGTAATTTCTCATAGCTAGTTGGTCAAAATACCATCGTCAGGGTTCAGTGTAAATTCCAATAAAGTATTTGTAATGTACAAGCCTTTTGTACATTTCGGTCAGTAGACAGTGAGATGAATCACATTGTATATGTTGTATGTGATACAGCATACCGTAAAGATATACGCTATTGCTACATGAATTAACGTATATCACCACTGATCTTACTGACTGTTTGTTAATGTGCAAAAACAAAATGTGAACACGTTCTAAATCACCTGTTTCGATTTGGCAACGTGATAGTTCGTGTGACGTCACCTATATTCGTGAGTCTGTTCCATGAAACTACTTCCTGTAGCATAATGGCTTAAATCAGCCTTGTATGGCTACAAAAGTGCATCTAGTCCATCTAAATGCATTGTATATTACTACACAGCCGTGACTCGAAGTAAAATAACTTCTGTCACTGGTGGAGTGCAATTTCCCCACGTTCCACCGACCGTATCCTCGTGCGAGAGACTACTTCCGGTATGACGTCACTTTGTTGACAGTTTGATCGGTTGTAGATTTTCTGATACGAGAGTGAAAGCCGGTTCGAGCCGAGATATGTGAGTTGACATTCAAGTATTTTATATTTATTGTACATCTTCCTAACTGAATGAAATACTGAAAAGAATAATTATATTCTGGTAATTTAATAAATGTTATTGTGCAATTCTTAATTGTGAAATTATTCTTCGAAAAATTAAATAATTTAACCCTCTTGGTGCCACGGGACCATATATGGTCCCTCACTTTTCACACCCGCATAGTGCCAGGGGACCATATATGGTCCCGAGAAAATGCCCTTTTTAAACTGTGAATTTTGATATTAACACTGAGTGCGCAAAGTCAAAACTATAACCATCATCACCCCAACCATCTTAGCTTTAACATCGTGTAACTCATATTTTATACAATGCTACGGATTGCGAAATATGGCGAGATTGGTAAAGTGGCTACCGCTCTTCTCGGCCTTTTTCTGCCATCTTTGAACACCAAGCGAATGACGGCGAATTTTGATTATGCACCCATGTCACATACACGTAAATATTTTCAGACAAAATCCTTGTTCATAAGAAAAATTATGACCTGAGTGGTCAGAAAGACATATTTTTCGCAACTGTATACTTATTCACGTAAATACAAGTTTATTTACACGTTTTGTATATTTTTATCGACTATCGGTAATGGCGGAATGGTCGGTACACATGAGAAAACGACAGTTTATATTTCCATTACATTTATGACGTTCATTGAATGAATTTATAACCATCATCACTCTAATCATCTCAACGTTAATATCGTGTAACTCATATTTTATGCAGTGCTACGGATTGCGAAATATGGCGAGATTAGTAATGTGGTTACCGCGCTTCTCGATCTTTTTCTGCCATCTTTGAACACCAAGCGAATGACGGCGAATTTTGATTATGCACCCATGTCACATACACGTAAATATTTTCAGACAAAATCCTTGTTCATAAGAATAATTATGACCTGAGTGGTCAGAAAGACATATTTTTCGCAACTGTATACTTATTCACGTAAATACAATTCTGTTCATTCCTTTATGAACAAGTTTATTTACACGTTTTGTATATTTTTATCGACTATCGGTAATGGCGGAATGGTCGGTACACATGAGAAAACGACAGTGTATATTTCCATTACATTTATGACGTTCATTGAATGAATTTATAACCATCATCACTCTAATCATCTCAACGTTAATATCGTGTAACGTGTAACTCATATTTTATGCAGTGCTACGGATTGCGAAATATGGCGAGATTAGTAATGTGGTTACCGCGCTTCTCGATCTTTTTCTGCCATGTTGAACTTCATGCGAATGAAGGAATTTTTTATTATGCACCCATGTCACATGTACGTAACTATTATTATATCAGACAGCCAATTATAAAAAGAAATCTGATCGGACTGGTCAGAAAGATTTACTAGTCCCCACTGTACAGTTATTGGCGTAAGAGTACTAACGTTTAGTCGGCCACGGAAGTTTTTTGTTAAGTATTGCATATTTTTATCGTCTGTGTCATGGCGATTTAGCACGGCGCTACATACGAACAGTGCAGATTGTCTTTTTGTTTATGATGCTGATTAACAGAACATATTCAAATCAAATGGAAAGATAGCTATAATCGTTAATATTAAGTTGGTATAGTGTATACTTATGGGCAGGAGGTTCATGATCAAAACCTAAACATTTAATGGCCAAGCCCGAAGTGATCGACAGGGCACGTTCGCATCATATCTGTGCCGCGATTTCTTGTTTACCGGTTGTCCTACATACTCGCCCGTTCAGACAAATAACTGCTACTTTTTTCATATGAAATGTCTAAGAGTCATGTGTGATTGCTCAAACAACCTGACCGTGTGAGTGACTTGCCCTAACTGTTTCACATTTTGTCGAAAATGGAGATTTCAAAAGTGTGGCCACGACATCTAACGTGAGTCGACGCCATATTGTAAACAAATTGTGTCAAGGCCGGTTCCACATGTGGTAGCTCGGCCAACGTTCCTGTCGATGGTACTTGCGATACAAACATAATGCAACTACTGAAAACATCAACATAACTTCTACAATGATGACATCAATACCTTTTTGTATTTGGATTAACCGCTTATGGATACGCTGTGCTATTAAGTTTGACTTCGATTTGTTTTTCCTTTCATTGAAACTGTGATAATGGCGCTGTGATTGGTTTGCTGAAATAGTATTTTCCATGAGTCTAATGTACATGGTACATGCTGTGATTGTAGAAGATAATTGATAACCAATTGTGTATGCATTTATATCATCAAATACACATTACTAATCTCTTCAGAAAATGGAATATATTATAGCTCGTTTTCAAACATTCTGCCATGGATATTAGATCAAAAATTAATATTAGATTTACAAATTATTTATGTACACTGTACTCTCGATTAACGTATGATAATCTATTGCAAGTCTTCAACTCTTATTTGATATGTCATCTGAAATGTAAGCAATGAGTAGGATTAATTTTATTTCGTTACAATCTGCAATTTTATTCAAATAGGCTAATAGACGGTCGGTGATTTCCCGCCGCTGTGAATTTGTCGTCTGGACAGGTGCGCGTGATTTGACCTCGCGTGTTGTGACGTGGATGACGTCGCATGAAACAGCTGATCTAATGTTGTGGTAGTATAATGGATACACGTGGTTTCATTTTCCAAATAACAATATTCTCTTTGACTGAACTAGAAAGCATATCTAGTACATCACGATTGGAAAATGTCTACGGCGACCGACGAGTGAAACATTTGACTAACAGTGTTAGACTTATTTGGCGCAGTTTTCTAATTTTGGTATGTTGACATGTGCTTTTGAAGGCTTGATATTCCAAAAATATAATATGCATTTAGTTGAGTATAGTGAGAAAGCTGTCAAAATGGATCCAATATTAAACCACCTAGATTTTTAATATTTTAGCTTCATCTATTGGAATCTCGAATGGTTTAATTTATAACATAAACAGTAAAAGTAATTAGATCTTCTCACTATATATAGATAATCAATTTCTGAAAGACAAAAAGTGTTTTAGTGTAAATGTGACTTCGTTTTGATGTTTATGTCTTTTTTCACTCTGCATTATCTAAATTACCAAATACTTCGACCAGTGACATAGTAGTAATTACATTCTACTTTGTTTTGTATCCTAGGTATGAAACAGATTTTCTTTTTAAATAAATATTTGTCTAAGAGCAAAATCAATACAATCTTATGGGTTTTTTCACCATTTTAATTTGTATATCTTCCCTCCAAGCTGTTGTTTAGCTAGGCCAAAATTAAGAAAAAAAGGAAAGACATAATAAACCATTTTATTAAAGATTTTGCTGGTTAAATTTTCGAAGTTCAATACCAAGAATATATTTTTCCTTTTATGACAAATAATTCCATTACTTTCATTAGCCTACGATCATTATCTATTTCAAACTTTTCCTTTAGTAGAATGGGATGGAATGGGAAACTAGTGGAAATAAACTATCACGTATGTCCTTAAATGTACATGTATATACCTAACTAGGTGTAAATACACTTCTAAAGTCGTATTTATAAATCAAATGAATAAACGAAAGAAAAAGTGGTATTTCATGGACTGGCCATACAAGTATATTTTGAGCAAAGGTCAAAGTTAGGCAACCTAGCGCGAAATACGACCTGATACGAGGATGTATGTTTTCTGGTGGCCATAGTGAAACAATGACATATGGCGCCCGAGTTGCGAGTGATCGAAAATAGGTTTGTTGAATAGATTTGCTGCCCATGAAAACGTTTCAACAAGTTTGATTGAATCTACATGTACTTACTCTTGGGTGGTATTACGTTAGTATAATCTTGTTAATTATTAAGAAATAATGATGATGCCCGATATTGAGCGATGTCAATTTGAGTATTGTTAGGGCTGTTTAGCGATCTTTCACATTTTGTCCTTTGAAAATGTACGATGTCAATTACCCCGAAGTTGTTTTTATCACTAATAAAAGAGCACGGTCATTGAAACATACATTGACGTAACCGGGATTTCTTCACGATATACATTCCAAACTGTCATTCGTTTTGTGACATAATCTTTAAAACAGTCTGCGTATGAATTAATCACGACCGCTTCCGTCAATTTTGTTTTGACGTCAAAAACACGCACAATTTCATCGGGATTTTTTATCGGTAAATATAACTCACGGAACATTCTCAGTGAATGTGTACTTCAACATAAATATCATATGTCTATCACTGTTAGGACATGTACTTGCCAATGATATGAATTATTGGTCATTTACATTTCAAACAAGGGCGCTTGCTTGACTTTGCTTGCCATATTCGGGTGCGATTAATGTGGAAAAGTAGGAAACTTATAATACCAGCACATTTATCGATGGCTGGGCAGTGCATAGATCTTTTGGATTTGGTGACTGTAGATACTGTTGGAAAGACAATCAACTCGAGTTGCATGTTATACAATTTGGTTACACTGTGTGAAGAAATAAAGACGTTGCAACACTTTTGATACAATGTATACGTTTTTGTAACCGCGACGTCAGCACAGTGTGCCACTGAGCGGTTTGCAGGCTGACTGACGTCCAGGCACCATGAGGGTTAAAGGGCAAGTTCACAAGGAAATGAACCTATTTTTCGTGTACCTTTTCCACATTAAAAGTGTTAACCTAGTAGTGTCATAGACAAAAATATAAAAATATCACAATTAATTAACATATTTTTTGCATTAAAACGATTTACATTTTTCACATTTACCAAGTGTTCTATTTCCAGAACAAAAACACCATGGCTTATGCCCCTTGCAATATGACGTCATTGGTGCCAATTGATAAACATCATGACGTCATCATGCTTTGTTAGAGCCGCTTCACGTGGTGTAGGTACAGGTGTGTGATTCTAGCGTCTCAGATGCCAGCCAGCATAGTGTTATGCTGAGTCACCACTGCGCCGGAGTGTGTCGTAGGCCATGCTGTTTTACCGCAAACTGGTTCTTGATATCTTTTGCGTTGAGAATAGACAGGGACCCAGTTGAATTGGCACCAATTTCGTCATAATCTAAGGGGGATAACTCTGGCCTGTTTAGCTCGAAAAACGAAGGCCTCATAACGGCAGAGCATTTTCACACTATTGTGAGCTTCCTACTTTCACTGTGAAAAAAATGAGTTTATATTTTCAAACACAGATACTAACTAATTCTAAAATTGCGTTTTGTTTAGAAAAAGAAAGAAAGTGATTTTTGCGTGTACACTTCCCCTTTAAACTGTGTGGTTGGTGGTATTGGGAGTGATCCACAATTCGCTACCAGAGATGTACCCCAATACCCACCCCCTGAACCGTTACATATTGTTTTCTCAGTTCCCTGAAAAAGGTGTCTGCATGTTATACTAAAATACTACCTGGAAGGTTTTCCATTCTCATTATAATCTATGCAAATGGTTACTCATTTGCTGCTGGGCATCCACAATGAACGATATGTCCTTTCGCTTCAAGCAATCAGCTTTGACAAACAACCAAACAGACTGTGATAATATCAGATTTTATTACCTGTTTGCCATGTTTCACAAAGATGTGATGACTATATACAGACTGCCTTTGAAACAATGTGATACATTGTGATACTGACACACATCAGATTAACATAACAACATGTCCAGCCTGTCTGGACTGCAGCACCATGGTGGATGAGGAACACAGCCTAGCAAGCCACAAGTGATCACGCCTCACAGGAAACAAGTACAACAACGGTCAACCTTTCACACAGTAAGTGGCACCTAGCTTGTCTTGGACCCTAGCTCTAGACTGGCACATTTGAGGGTGCCAACCCACCCTCTAGACATACGTCACACCACTTCCTTGCGGAAAAGGATATATACCGAAATGTTGCCTTTACAGTAAATAAAGAAGTTGTTAGCCATATATTGTCTCAACTTTGTCATCTGTCAACTTCTAAGTAATGCCTGTCAAACATACTACATTAGTTTCTGATGAATTTCTAAGATTGTTTAAAATGTGACAAAACAGTTTTGGCATTCTATTAAAGAAGTTTCATTTCAAAAGAGCCAGGAATATTGCTTGTACATGCCTTTATTGTCTGGAAGATGTTACATATCATTCAGTTCTGGAACATCAAGGCATGAGAGTTACTGTTTGCATGTGTGAGTTGTGATGACTTCACTCCTGTCTCTGCCCCCTACATTGGGGAGGATGGTTGTAGGACAATATCCACCTTGAATGCTTATTGAATGGAGGCCCCATGTCAATCTGTCACAGATATCACTGTTTCTACTTATTAAAAGGTTTACAAGTTCACACCTTTTTGTGTTCTGCTGTATCTGCAATAATTCTTGATCGGATAAGAGGAAATCGTCTATATAGACGTGGAGTCTTGCAAGATTTAGATGAGCGAAGCTGATGATGGGGGTGATACTCTGTGTAAAAAGCCATGTCGCTATTGATATTCCAAATGGAAGCACGTTGAATTCGAACCTTAGACCGTTTACTGCAAAGCGTAGGTAGGGTCGACAACTCGGGTGAATAGGTACATGCAGGTAGGCATCCTGTAGGTCCAGACTGACTAGCCAATCTCCTAGTTAGAGGGAATTGCGTAACTTTTTTTCTGATTCCATTTGAAATTTTGGTGGACGTATAGGTAGTCTCTTTTAAGTACCTTTAGGTCTATTATCATGCGCATTATTGTAGAGTTCTTTTGGGGGACCAGAACAACTGGAGAGTAAATCCCCTTTGTAGTGCCTGACTTTTGTAAGAGGCTGATAGCCCCTTTGTCTAGTAGTTCTCGCATAGACAAAGTTGCCGCCGCTAACTTGGCCCCTACTAGATGAAAACGTCGGCCTTTGGGGTGGACTACAAGCTCCGGACGCTGTTGGAAATAGAGTTTGTACCCTCTTTTTACCACTTCGATTAGCCAAGGGTCGTCCGTAATTGACTTCCAATTTTCGGCGTATAGTGACAGACGACCGCCGACTGGTCCCGCGGTAGGCGTTAAGATGAATTTGGGTAACCGGTAATCGAGGTCCATTAACATAGCAAGGTCGACAGGGTTTGGCTGAGAGATTCTTGGGTGTAGAGAGTCACGAACGGCGGTTACCTCTTCCTCTGGTATAGGAATGACCACGACCTCTTTGGGACTCATGTCTCCCTCGGCTTGGTTTGGCACGGGATGAGCTTTTCCAAGTGGAGGCACGAAAAGACTCACGTCCCGACATAACATGTCTGCGCTTAGGCGGATCTGTGTGAATCTGGGTGTTGGCCGACCGCTTTTCATTAAGCTTAGATGCCAATGAGATAGTGGAGTTTTGGAATCTGATTAGTGGGTACATGTCTGATGCCTGCTGCAAACCAGTTCATATACGTGCTAATATTTATCATCTGTTTGTTAACACTGTCAATTTCTTTGAATTTATTCATCTCAACATTCATCTTGGTATTTGGGTGTCTGACCAGATCAAAATATTCATCATCAATGGTAGGAGATGTGGGGAATGGACAATTGTGTGTTTTATAACATTGTCTCTCTTTGTGAGGAAAAAGAATTCTAAAAGCTCTACTGGTAGAGGCATTTAAATCCGCATTCATTTTTGTGACCACATTTTCAGTGAATGGTGAATATGGAAATGTAAGAAAACCTTCCCTCTTTTCTGCAGGATTTTCATAACCAGCTCTTTCAATAAACACTGGATCCTCTACCCCATTGCTTGGAGGCTTTACAGATGGGATCAATTGATGAATTTCATAGATAATATCTTTAAATGAGTAGTCGTTTTGGTTTAAACGTGAGTGTACTATTACCATCCTCCCGAGAAGCGCACGTACAATCTTGAGAAGCGCCTGTAAAACCCTCTCGGCCGTACCCCCGGGCGCTTGCCACTGGGGTGAAACGGCATCGCGTGGTGTATGGTTATCTCTCTGCTGCGATTCCTGGCTCGAGCTGCACGAGGATTGTGCTGTATAACTGTAATAGCTAAGTGATACATAACTGTCTGAGCTATAGACGCGATTCTGGCGTGTGGCATCGCATGTACGATCTGTAGGGAATTTACTTGTTGTTGACTATATCAGGGCAATGACTTCCAACTCACTGCAGATGTGAAATGTCAACTGATTGTTTCACTTCGACTGCTTTATAATCACCCCAGTGGGGATTCTCGGTTACACCACGTTTGTAAGAGTGGGTAGAGATTCTGGATCAGTCTAGCTCCCAGCACCCCGTGTTTGGAAGAGTTGGTGGAGATTCTGTTGTCAGTCAAGGTCCCAGCGCCTAACGTTTGTAAGAGTGTGTGGAGATTCTGGATCAGTCTAGCTCCCAGAACCCTATGTTTGTAAGAGTGGGTGGAGATTCTGGATCAGTCTAGCTTCCAGAACCCAATGTTTGCAAGAGTGGGTGGAGGATCTGTTGTCAATCTGTGTCCCAGCACCACGTTTGCAAGAATGAGTTGGAGATTCTGGGTCAGTTTAGGTCACAGCACTCCATGTTTGTAAGAGTGGGTAGAGATGCCATTGTCAGTCAATGTCCCTGCACCTAATATTTGTAAGAGTGGGTGGAAATTCTAGGTCAGTCTTGCTCCCACAACCCTGTGTTTGGAAGAGTGGGTGGAGATTCTGTTGTCAATCAATGTCCCAGCACCCCATGTTTGGAAGAGTGGGTGGAGATTCTATTGTCAGTCAAGGTCCCAGCACCCTGTGTTTGGAAGATCGGGTTGAGATTCTGGATCAGTCTAGCTCCCACAACCCCGTGTTTGGATGAGTGGGTGGAGGATCTGTTGTCAATCAATGTCCCAGCACCCCATGTTTGGATGAGTGGGTGGAGATCCTGTTGTCAGTCAATGTCCCAGCACCCTGTGTTTGGAAGATCAGGTGGAGATTCTGGATCAGTCTAGCTGCCAGAACCAAATGTTTGCAAGAGTGGGTGGAGATTCTATTGTCAGTCAAGGTCCCAGCACCCTGTGTTTACAAGAGTGGGTCTTCCGCGTAACGAGCGAAGGCTTTAACCACTTGGTTACCAGACCGCCCCTGTGTTTGTAGGAGTGGTTTGAGACTCAGATCCTGATGTTCCAGTTAGTAAGGAACACAGGATGACCAGAATGAAACAAAGAGACAAGCAACACGGGCAATATGATGAGGCTGGGCAGTATTTATTATGTACAGAAGTCTAAGAAACAATGTTACAATTATTTACCCTTTATACAGTAAGGTTCCGATTAGTGCTAGCTTTTGATCAGGTCTATATAGAATCACCACGGTATAACAAGAACAGCATTATGCAAAGCCAAGTAGAGCCATCCAGCACAGCCTGTACACTGAAGGGCAAGGATTGTTTAGAAATTACAAGTATCTGTCACACGTATACACTGAATACTGCCACCTGTCAAAGTTAGTATATAGATTCAATCATTTTCTAGAAATTGTATCAAAAAGACTTTCAATTAGAATTAGTTTACAGAAATTAAACTAAGGATGTGATTTTATCAAGCATGTAATGACAAACTTGACCACCATCTTTAACAATGGCTGATCAATAGTGGTATCTTAGGAAGTGATTTTCATGACATGAAATCAAGGAAAACATATTACAAAAATCTGTAGGTTACTTTAAAAATCTTAATCGATCTCAGCTAAATAAACTGGTGTAAATTACAAGGTAGAATCAAGAGTTCCCTACAACATTAGTAGTGCTACAACAATAAACACAGAGGAATTTCTTTGGCACTGGTCAAATTGGATGATGGAAGCTTAACACTAACAGCAGCACATGACACTTAGTGTGAATACATGACATCAATGTGTACCCACACAGAACACCGTCATGATACAGCCTTTGGAGAAAGAGCAGATGAACACATGCTGTAAATACCCACATAATCTCCATCTGTTCAGTGTGGTCCAGCAAATAAATAATGTTGAAGTGAAACGGTAGACACTAGTGTGTTGGTAAGCTACAATGTCAACCATACCCCTGTTGAACTGAGGTATGGGAATGAAGCAGCACTGACTGCTTGAGTCCGAGCTGGAGCTGGAGCTGGAGCGGGAGCTTCTACAGAAAACATTCATCTCGGAAATAAATCTGAAAACATTCAGGATTTAGAAAACATTGCACAGCACAATATTTTGAAGAAAATATGTATTAAAAACACATGTACAGGAAATAATGTAGGCATCTTTTGTGGAAAAGCAATCTTGTGGCATTAGTGACAATTGAAGGAATACTGACAAACAAGTTTGAAGACTAGAAGTGTTACGATGAGTGTAAAGTGTACCAGTAACAGTCAATACGATTCTTACAGCATCCATGGCCAAATAAAGCATCATACCCAATACAGGCAGATATGTACACATATTGCAATGTCTGGCACTATCATACTGTGAATGCCTACACTGGCATTACAATGACATTTCTAACTTGTGGTAATGCATAGATGAATAATTAAGATGAAATTTGAGAGTGATGAAGATCTGCATTTAAGATAAATTTCTTATTGTTACCATTAAGTGTTAAAAGACTGAAAAAGTTATTGTCTTAACCTTGATGCCCCTTACCTTGACCTTGATGCCCCTAACCTTGACCTTGATGCCCCTAACCTTGACCTTGATACCCTTTGCAGTGGACAAAAGGAGCATCTTGACTGTGGCCTACTTACATGTACTGATAAACCCCGTTAATCCAGATACTACCACATAGTGGAAAATCATGCAGCAAAAAACAAGCCTTGAGTACATTATCATAGGAAAAGAGTAATGCCCCTATTTACATAGACCTTCTTTCCCTGAAAAAAATAATAATAGCAAAATGGCAAAAATAGGATGACAATGTTGCTTTGACAAACGCCTGTGTGGTGAATAGACAAAAATCAGACCCAAAGAAGTAATGAAAAGGCTTCTTTCCGTGACCTTCATCTCGTCTCACAAAGCAATTGTCAGTTAAGTCTACCCTTTAACTTCAACATGGACTTGCGTTAGTAATCAAACATTCCATGCTAGGTTCGAGTACTGAAGCTCCAATGGACATTCTAACAAGTGAGTGAGCATGTATGGTAGCATGTTGGCTTGAGTCATGTCCCGGCAATATGTTGGCAGGGGAAGTAAAGAATGGGTTTCCTATATTAATCAGACCAAACGCCTCAACCACCAGGCTATCCCACCACTCCAGCACACATGGTTTTGTGAAACAGGATCTATTTACCACAAGGCGTATATCAGCATGAAGCTCACCCACATTTCCCCAAGCTAACAACCATTTTCCTCAGAACCAGGAAACACACAATCACCAATCTCACATTTTGTACCTAATTGTTGCCTACAGGTAATAATCCTGAACAATGTTCATTACTAAGTTCTCAACTCTATCCAGTAACACTGATATTAATTCTATATGAACAATTTCACTACTTTGAATACACATAATTCAATACCAGTCAATTCTGTAAATAGTTTTATCCCAGGTCACAAGGAGGCGAGAATGTCAATGTCATGAGAGAAATGCTTAAAAAACCCAACTGGATTATCACTATAAGAGAGACTGTGGAGAGACTGTGGGGAGACTGTGGGGAGACAGGGAGGTCAGACAGATCGGGAGACTATTCACAATCATAAAGGAACACATTATCTAAGTATGAGATCTGCAAAACAGGCTGATTGAAAGATAAAAGTTGACATAAGTTGAGTGTACCTTAACTTGCTTCCCATTGGGCCCATACAGATCACGACATGACCTTCACAGAGGTTGTTGACATTCACTGTGGCCGTCAACATTCACCTTGAACAACATTCAACACGATTGTTGACGCTCACAGGGGTTGTCGACTTTTACCGTTGTTGTCAACATTCACTGTGGCCGTCAACATTCACCTTGAACAACATTCAACACGATTGTTGACTTTCACAGGGGTTGTCGACTTTCACCGTTGTTGTCAACATTCACTGTGGCCGTCAACATTCACCTTGAACAACATTCAACACGATTGTTGACGCTCACAGGGGTTGTCGACTTTTACCGTTGTTGTCAACATTCACTGTGGCCGTCAACATTCACCTTGAACAACATTCAACACAATTGTTGACTTTCACAGTGGTTGTCGACTTTTACCGTTGTTGTCAACAGTCACTGTGACCGAGTGTTGTGATATGACAGTGTTGTGAGATGTAGTGGTCGACAGTCACAATTTGAAGCAGACTGTGACATAAAAAAGGTTGTCCACCTCAGATGCACAGCCTTGACACACTGACAGAGAAGTGAAAACAACAAAAACAATCAATTTGATTCACATTTTAAATTTTTGGGGAAGGAGCAATTGTAAAACAAAATTGGTGTGGCCTGAACAGTGTAGCCCCACAGCATGAAGAAAGAAACACTATCCAATCAAAGATCCCGATTTACAGATTAATCATGGCCGTATACAACTGTTTCTCTCCATTAGATTCAGAAGTCCAGGCAATGGGCTAGAAATGACACTAGAACTCATTCCATTAAGTGATGACTCAGCACAATGTCTATGTTTACCACGCAGAACTCTTACAGACAGATATTTTCAAAAATATTATTAATTATTATTACTAAGGTTAAGGTTACAATTGGAAACACTGATCTAATCATGCAATCAGCAACATCATGGCGGGGGACATCAGAAATGGGCTTCACACACTGTACCCATCGAACCTGGGTCTTTGGCGTGAGGAGCGAATGCTTTAACCAGGGATGAGAACGGATATTTTCGTTTTCAGCTGAAACTTCTTTGCAATGGAGCGTGGTCCATAATTTGGGGGTGTTTATGAGGGAAAACCATCAGATTTTAAGAAATTTGTTGTCACTAAAATTTGTGGAAATTCACGGATCCGTGGCAGATTCTCACCCCTGTTTAACCACAAGGCTACCCCACCGTTCCCCCTTTGTTGAAGGGGCCCAAATGGGTTGAGACGGAATAAACAAAGTAATCAATAATTATCATTACACAAACAAATGTTGCACCTTCATCACAGATCAATGCAGTAGAAAGACCCTACTGACGATTTCAAACAAACAGCAGAAAGCTCTAGCAAACGACTATATACACACTGCTAAGAGGAACAGCTCGGGTATATAGATCTGTTCAGGAGTTCAGCTTCTTGACATCTGCTTTTTGCAAATGGTAGACTATTGCACAATGCGAACAAGTAAAACAAGTTGTAAACATTAGCAATAAAAATAAGGACATTTCGTTCTCGAGGATTTAACTTACGATTTAGCGCAGATGACCTACATTAGTTCAGGTATTCTACATATTAATGCAGATGACTTACAATTTAGTGCAGGTGACCTAGATATTGTTGAAGTGAGTAAACTTAGACCACAATTTTCATCTTTGACGAAAAGCAGGAGTGTTTTGTACATGATAAGTACCCAAGAATAAAAAACAACTCGTTTCTTCTTCCTCATTAGCTAATTAAGGGTAGGGCTTAATTACGATGCCTCATTCACAGAAATCATGCATTTTGCGAACCCATATTGTTGCATAGCACAGGTAAAAGCCACACTGATGGACAAGCAAGTATTTGCAGGAAGGAAAGGGAAATGTCAAAGTGAGGTCACTGACCTCATGCTTTGTATACAATCAGGTAGGACGATATTGATCTAGGTTATATCGACGTAACAATGTAGGAATCTTTCTCCCCGTATAAACAAATAATATACAGTGATAACAGCTTCTGCAGAGAGTAACAGGCAGGGAGTCTTCAGTCCGCAACTCGAGTGCAGGCAACTTTACAATACGCTTTGTGATATATTATCAGTCAGTCAAGCAGTGACCCAACTACTCCATGTGGGTGAGTGTTAGAGTGTCAGTGTCGGTGGGTGGGTGGGTTTATGAGTGTCAGTGTCAGTGTATGGGTTTGTGTTGTAGGTGGGTTGGTTTACAAGTGTTTGGGTGGGTAAGATAGGTAGTGAGTGAGTGAGTGAGAAGGGTTTAACTTAACATTCTAGCCATATGATAGCAGGGGGCACCAAAATGGGCTTCACACACTTTACCCATAAGGGCAATTGAACAGGGTCTTCAGCATGGATGCCCATGAAGATCTGGGTAAGAATAGGTCTTCAGCAACCCATGCTTGCTGCTTGTCGTAAGAGCCGACAAACGGGAAAGGGGGGTCTGGCTTGCTGACCTGGTTGATGCATGGTATCGTATACCAGTTGCGTAGATCGATGCTCATGACATCAATCACTGGATTTTCTGGTCCAGTCTCCATTATTTACGGACCGTCGTCATATAGCTGGAATACTGTTGAGTGAGGCATTAAACAGAAACAAAACTTGTCTAGTGAGTGAGGGTATGTGGATGTCTGGAAGATTGAGTTAATGGGTGGGTGGCAATATTGTGAGACTGACACTGAGTTACATCTAACTTGGTGGGAGGGAGGAACCTCGGTGGATGGGTGGAATATGTGTGGGTGGGTCGGTGGTAGGGTGTGGATGAGAGGGAGAGATTGATGGTGGTTTGGGAGTAGGAGTAGGATGTAGGATGTAGGTGGGTGTTTGGATGCTAGTGTATTTTAGTTCAACATTCCAGCCACATGGAATAAAATGTCCTGGGTTGTCATAGCAACACACACTATTGAACACGACTGCTTTGTCAGATTAGTACCAACCATTTTGGCATTATTCAGCACAATTGGCTCTAGGCTAAACAGGGTTGTTTGTATCAGCCACGGGTGTATCGTAATATGGTTGACAACGACTGTAATCATCAGACATGTACTTCCAGTCGCCTCAAACCATGGACCTCTCTAAGTCTTTCACCTGAACATTTCATTTGACAAACTAGAAGACACGGACAAATGACCTGCAATCATAGCAGCTAAAAACATGCTGATGTTTTAAATGACGATATGTCACAGATGGCTGTCAAGTCAATTTTATTGACAGAGAGAGTGATTATGATTTGCAATACAAAATGAATTCCCTTTCTCGAAATCTAATTCCAAAATCCTTTCAGGTTCTGATAAGTTTACAAACACATAAAAACAAAGCCCAGACACTGTCTGTTGTCGTTCAGAACAAGCCCTCAAGCAAACAATGAAAGTATGACAGGAGCAAGTGTCAATAAGGTGCACCAACATAGTGATGAAAGAAAGGAGTTTGGTTTGGTTATGGCCAAGTTGCATACATTCAGTACTTGCTGGACAAACCAAGGATCATGATGTGAGTGGATCTGCTATTCCAACCCACACTGAAACTCTGACTTAGACTACACTTAAAAGTGGGTCCAAAGTGTCAGATGGATGTCCGAAGAAACACCAAAGGCAATCCAACAAGGAGTCAAACCTGGACCGTCTAGGTGAAGGAGCAAGTGCATGAACCATGAGGCTACCCTACCAAACCACCCAATGTCACCAACACAAGACATTGTTGCTACTGGGCTAACCACATAAGCTGTATGTTACCAGATGCCTGCACTGCCGGGGAGGAATCATTAACAAGCACAAACAGTAATGATTTAAATAATATAGCATCACAAATTACAGCATGATATTATACACAACTGCATCCTCGTCAACTAAGAAGTTATGTGCATGCTGTACATGACGCAGAGCTAAAACAAGATCACATGGGAAGGACAAAGGGCTAAAAGCAAGTCTATTTTGTCGGGATACCAACGTGGACATTCCTCAGTAGGGGATATTCCTGTAGTGTGTATGTTGTCCATATATATTTCTACATTAGACAAATGTCTATCAAGACTGTTGACTTCAGTCAACACAATAAAGGCCTTTTTTCTTAATCAAGTTGTGTAGATACTAAAACAATATGATGTTGTGAAAAAGATGTTTTGAAGAATTTCCGAACATGACAAGAATTCAACATATTAATCATCCAGCTACATAAAAGCACGTGCTCAATTCAATTAATCGTTACAGAGGTGCTTTCCTGTTTTCAAATTTGAGTGCATAATTCTATCAAATTTCTCGGCCTTCATTGGAAGAGCATCACTACTATAGAGTTACTTCCCCTACTTTCACAGGCTTCTCCAGCAGTCAACAGGTGCCCTTTGCTGTATCCCGACTGAATGCTGATGATCTGTGCAGGCAGCAGCAGCAACAACAACAGCGAACAGCAAGCCAGCATAAGTACATTAGTATCAAATATATACAACATGAATGACTACATATATCAAACAGATTAAAAAGGTATAAAGTGTACCTTGATCGTTTAAAAAAGTTGATCTGTTTATCTCCAGCCAGAGAATTTGATTGCACGATTTAATCATCAGCGTAACATGAACCTCTCCCCAAACTACAGTCGGAGATGAAGCCGAAAGACAGCCCTTTGATGTTGCAGCATTAATATCCAATCTGACCACCAACACATCGTAAACAGCACACAATGTAAATGCATTGTCAGCAGTCTTCTAATATCTGTTACCAAAGAGCTGCCTTTCAAACATCAGCAAGATTAAACCTTACTCCATCATTCAAATCTACATCAAGAGGCAACTTTCTTCATTCAATCCTCTTTTGTCCATTATCAATACGTTTCCTCGACAACTGTGTGACTCTTGTATACATACATTCTTTCTAGAAAACTACAGAACACATTTATATCAAATCGCATCCTTCTTCGGTCTTGCTCAGGGTCCATGATGTTGCGGTCAGCATTTGAAGCAGGTGTTATACATGATGTTGATGAAGCTGGGTGGGTGATGTGTTGCAGGGTTAACTTAATGCAGTGTTGGACTCCGATGGGTAATCTCACCGCATGAAGTAATGACACCATCAACCCTACCCTACATAGATCTGACTGACCTAGTTACTAGATGAAGCAGATGGACACTGGACAGCAATGGCGTGACACAGCATCATGGACCGTGGACTGTAGTGGGAGAGGTTGAAGCTGCTTCAGGCAGATACTGCCCAGTGGAAGGTATCATCAGTCATCTCCTGTACCCACAAGGTCACAAGGTGAATCTTACTAGCTTACGAACTGATGCAACCCTGTCCCGTACAAGGTCATAAGATGCATCTATGTAGCTTGATAATTGATGCAATCACAAGGTGAATGTTACGTAGCTGTGTAACCGATGACAACGCAAGCTAGGGCTTCTCCATCACCTGATGGACCTGCGCAGGCATCTGACTGATTGCAAGCATGGAGCTGTGGACTGACCACCTGAAAGATGACCTAGGTTACCTTGTCACCTGATGATAGTACTTTCACACATTCCAAGTCGGCTCTCAGTCTGTTCAAACAGGACGGTGCATTTTCTAGCATGGCTTGATGAAGGAACTATGGAGACGGTCTGTTCCAAACACTAGTGGGATTTGCCCGCTCCAGACACCTCAATGTTCTCCTGGTTATGAAACACGACACTCAATCAGCAGCTTGCATCCTGGAGATCTCATTTTAACAACCGACAGTGACATCTTTCAGGTCTGTGAACTAGAGTAATGCTATATGGTGTGCTAGACTTGATCCTGATCGTACAGGTGGACCTCTATGTAGGATGTCGGCACGAAGCCCTCGGAGGTATCGTCCCGCTTGACCCGCGTCCACCCGTCGCCCTGGTCAGCCTCTATGATGTTGAACTCTTCATTCTCCAGCATGGAGATCGACCCTTCGCTGCTTCCTGAAAACCACAGCAACAGGGTGTGTTTATTTGGGAGAGGTAAGGTAAAGTGAAATGGGGTTAATGTCATGTTAAAGACTATTGCACTTATATGGCGACGTGCATGCGTTTGCGTGTCTTCCTGTATTAGTACGAACTATTGCCAGTCTTATAGTGCTAACCCACTGAGAAACCATGCCGCAGTTCAACATGGACACTCCACTCAGACACAGTATACTGACTCCGAGCCGACCAGTCCTTGTCTTGTCCCCAAACTACTGAGTGTCAGGCAGGATAAAAACAACTACCTTCTTTGAACGTCTATTGGCATGACGTCTCCGGGCAGATCCTGTTTCAACAAGACCATGGAGGCGGTCTTATTTAGGAGGACTGTGTTTTCTGCTGTCTAATGACAGATGGTCAACACGTGTACATAAAGATAAATCAGCATCAAGCTACTTTGGTACGGATGTTGTGATGAAAGTTGGAATGGGCTTTGCTACAGTTGTAGAACTCACCATCAAAAGGATATAATGCCCGACAGGTTCCGATGATAGGAAACGTTTCAAACTCATCCTCCCCCTCCTCATCTCCATCAATAGGCCTGAAACAGAAGGTCAGTATGAGACGTTAGCAGTGAGTGGGAGGCAGTTTCAAATTACGATACAGTGAAGTTTCCACACAGAAACATAAATATCAGAGGTACATATCATATGTAAGGTTCAGCTAGATGTTTGTTTTCTATGGATGTGAAATGAACATTGCAAATATTCAGAGTAACATTTGTATCAACATCAAAACAATTGTTATTGTTAATAATTCTTGGAATACTACCTCTATTACATCACTGCCCAATATTGTATTCAGGCTGCGACCACACTAAAAACTAAACAATCAGATTTTCATCAGAAGTCCTCCTCACTGTCAACTATACATCATTAGTCGTATCCCTAATAGCACTCTGGACGACCTCTTCCATGTACAGGTCACGTCGGGTCTAAATGACTTCATTTCCTTTCTAGATGTCATTTCCGGTCTCTCAAAAGTCATAAAGGTGTCATCTATGACGTCACTTCCGGTATTGGTTCCGATCGTGACGTCACTTATTCCACTTGTGATGTCACTTCAAGTCAATAGGAAAGCCCGAAGTGATTCAGGTTTTTAGAAGTTACCACTTTGGTGAAACCCACAAGCTCGGATGTGCTGCTTACAAATCTAGTAAACATTACCAGGGCGAACCAGGATTCAAACCCACGGCAAACTGCGGCACCTTAGACGACTGGGCACCCCGTGCCCCCACAGCACCATGATGTGACAGACACTGACAGCATATACTTACGCATACACATTATGCTGCAGGTTTGGTGTTCCTGGCTCGGAGACCTGCTGTTGACTGGCTGGGGTACTGCCATCTGACACACTTGGGGACAGCGACTCGTTAGACGTACTGTGGCGCCGATGTTTACCATCAGCCTCACCTAGATAATTCTGGAACACATAACACAAACACTCCTTTCATCACTCAATATGTCCACACTACCTAGTAAGTTGAATGCTGACTTTCGTGGAACCTCGATAGCCTGGAAATAATTTAGGGACAATGTTGAACATGAAACTCATTATTGCCGGACACTTGTTTATCCAAGCCACTGATTTCAGCAAGCAAGTCATCTCTATGAACACAGTAGGTAGATTTACGTAGTCAGTAGTGATGGGTATTGGCCTTTTGTATTGCCATAAATTGCAATAATGATTCATGTATTGCGATACATACCACGATATATTGCATGCCTTCTTTCATTTGTAATTTGTAACAAAATAATAAAAAAGGTCACATACATCACACTTCCCCTGCAGTTTTTTGACAACTTTGTAGTAGTCCACCATTTTGTTGGATGTTACTCTGACCACAACACAAACGTAATAGACAGATCATATACAGGAGGCTGGTCGTGAATAAATTTGCTTCTTCGATCACAGGAATCAGATGCTAATTTCATAATTTCAACTGGAGTTGTCACTGATGTACATTTTGCCAACAAGATGAAAATATGCATGATTTTGAAAAACCCAATATACACCAGTATTTTCCAAACATATTGTCGGAAGTTTTCATACGTAATTCAAATTGTGGTATACTGGCAACACCTATAGCCGTCAGACAGAGCAAGTAAGGTTTTGGGACAATCCTTAAGAACTCTCCAGTATAATGTTATATGTTTACGGACCTACTGATTGACAAGAGTGATCTAACTGACGTGTCTGTGTGTCCACCTGCCCCCTGTGTCTGTACTTGGAATCATATTGTTTAAATGGCATCAACGTGTTTTCACTCACCTCAAACTTTTGCAGATCTTGCCGTAGATCATCTATCTTTTGAGCATTTTCTTCTATTTTCTTATCTAAGGTACTTGGATCTCCTAGAGCCGGGTTGTTTGCATAAACATCTTTCATCTTCAACATGCCTTCCCTGTAACAGCAAGCCATGGATACAGTCAAACACTGTTGTGTTGAAGTTGAGAGACCTATGTAAATACTGAGGTTCCACACAACCCAAAATGATAAATAAAGAAGGAACATGCAGGGACAATGCTTTAACTTCCAGACAACAGTAAGTTTGACACAACAGTGTTTCACTGTAATCTCAAGGTATCCCTGTAAAGGCAAGTCCCATGTAATCTCAAGTAGAACTATAGCTATCCCTGTAAAGGCAAGTCCCATATAATCTCAAGCTGAATTATAGCTACCCCTGTAACAGCAAGTCCTATATAATCTCAAGTTGAAACAAAGCTATCCCTGTAACAGTTTAACTCTACATAACCTCTGTCTGTCCTACCTCCAAGGACTACAACCCTCCCACAACTCTACATTACCTCTGTCTGTCCTACCCCCAAGGACTACAACCCTCCCACAACTCTACATTACCTCTGTCTGTCCTACCCCCAAGGACTACAACCCTCCCACAACTCTACATTACCTCTGTCTGTCCTACCCCCAAGGACTACCACCCTCCCACAACCCTACAGTGCCTCTCTGCCTGTCTTACCCCCAAGGACTACCAACCTCCCACAACCCTACATTACCTCTCTGCCTGTCTTACCCCCAAGGACTACCACCCTCCCACAACCCTACATTACCTCTCTGGCTGTCCTACCCCCAAGGACTACCACCCTCCCACAACCCTACATAACCTCTCTGTCTGTCCTACCGACAAGGACTACCACCCTCCCAATACCCTACATTACCTCTCTGTCTGTCTTACCCCCAAGGACTACCAACCTCCAACAACCCTACATTACCTCTGTCTGTCCTACCCCCAAGGACTACCACCCTCCCACAACCCTAGAGTACCTCTCTGCCTGTCTTACCCCCAAGGACTAGACTACCACCCTCCCTCAACCCTACAGTTCCTCTCTGTCTGTCCTACCCCCAAGGACTAGACTACAACCCTCCCACAACCCTACATTACCTCTGTCTGTCCTACCCCCAAGGACTACAACCCTCCCACAACTCTACATTACCTCTCTGCCTGTCCTACCCCCAAGGACTACCACCCTCCCACAACCCTACATTACCTCTGTCTGTCCTACCCCCAAGGACTAGACTACAACCCTCCCACAACCCTACATTACCTCTCTGCCTGTCCTACCCCCAAGGACTACCACCCTCCCACAACTCTACATTACCTCTGTCTGTCCTACCCCAAAGGACTACCACCCTCCCACAACCCTACATTACCTCTGTCTGTCCTACCCCCAAGGACTACCACCCTCCCACAACCCTACATTACCTCTGTCTGTCCTACCCCCAAGGACTACAACCCTCCCACAACTCTACATTACCTCTCTGCCTGTCCTACCCCCAAGGACTACAACCCTCCCACAACCCTACATTACCTCTGTCTGTCCTACCCCCAAGGACTACAACCCTCCAACAACCCTACATTACCTCTCTGCCTGTCCTACCCCCAAGGACTACAACCCTCCAACAACTCTACATTACCTCTCTGCCTGTCTTACCCCCAAGGACTACAACCCTCCCACAACTCTACATTACCTCTGTCTGTCCTACCCCCAAGGACTACCACCCTCCCACAACCCTACATTACCTCTGTCTGTCTTACCCCCAAGGACTACAACCCTACATTACCTCTGTCTGTCTTACCCCCAAGGACTACCACCCTCCCACAACCCTACATTACCTCTGTCTGTCTTACCCCCAAGGACTAGCAACCCCCCACAACCCTACATTACCTCTGCCTGTCCTACCCCCAAGGACTACAACCCTCCCACAACTCTACATTACCTCTGTCTGTCCTACCCCCAAGGACTACCACCCTCCCACAACCCTACATTACCTCTCTGTCTGTCTTACCCCCAAGGACTACAACCCTCCCACAACTCTACATTACCTGTCTGTCCTACCCCCAAGGACTACCACCCTCCCACAACCCTACATTACCTCTGTCTGTCTTACCCCCAAGGACTACAACCCTCCCACAACCCTACATTACCTCTGCCTGTCCTACCCCCAAGGACTACCAACCTCCCAGAACCCTACATTACCTCTGCCTGTCCTACCCCCAAGGACTACAACCCTCCCACAACCCTACAGTACCTCTCTGCCTGTCTTACCCCCAAGGACTACCACCCTCCCACAACCCTAGAGTACCTCTCTGCCTGTCTTACCCCCAAGGACTACAACCCTCCCACAACCCTACAGTACCTCTCTGCCTGTCTTACCCCCAAGGACTACCACCCTCCCACAACTCTACATTACCTCTCTGCCTGTCTTACCCCCAAGGACTACAACCCTCCCACAACCCTACAGTACCTCTCTGCCTGTCTTACCCCCAAGGACTACCACCCTCCCACAACCCTACAGTTCCTCTCTGCCTGTCTTACCCCCAAGGACTACCACCCTCCCACAACCCTAGAGTACCTTTCTGCCTGTTCTTTGGCCATTTCCTTCTTGATTGCATCAATCTTCTGCTGCAGCTTCTTCCGACGCTGATTGGGAGGCAGGTCACTGAAGTCTTCCTTTGGGTCATCCACCTGAAGACAATCAAACCAGTCATATCTCACTCTGAACTGGTCAATATCCATGTAAACGCCCACCATCAAGCAGACATGTCACAAGTATCTTTAACAAATCGTTTCTAACAAAACATTTTGTATTTACCACAAAGCATGTCATTCACATAACAATACTCTACATGATCATTAAGCAAAGCGAAATAAGCTGCTAAATTTGCATTCTTTATCTGTGGGATCATGCCATGTTACACAAAATTACTCAATGTTAATTTCATGGCCGGTCACAATTCATATACAATGATATGGCTGTATGTCACTGAAATGACCGCACATCATCATCATCATCATCATTCCTAAAGGACAACTGTAATAATGACAATGCCACAACGAGGTCAAGGGGCCTCATACTAGCATCTACCACTGATAACCCTCAACATGCACGCATGCAATACCAAAGCATACCACAGCATGCAATTTCTACCACTGCTGTTTATAACCACCTAAAACCGTTTTGGTATTCCACTTACTCATGTGTAAGCACGAGACAGCGATTAAGCTGTCTATACTGTTTCATTACAAAATGTTATCAGATGAAATACTTAAATTAATCTTTTTGTTCTGTTTGTTGTTTAAGACCGCACTCAGCAATATTCCAGCTATATGACGGCGATCTGTAAATAATCAAGTCTGGACCAGACAATCCAGTGATTGACATAACAAGCATCAATCCATGCAATTGGGATATGATGACATCCATCAACCAAGTCAGCGAGCCTGACCACCCGATCCCATTAGTCAACTCTTATGACAAGCATAGTTGCCGTTTAGGGCAAGAATGGGTTGCTGAAGACCTATTCTACCCCGGATCTCCACAGGTCAGTTAAATTAATCAGTAGATCGTAGAGAGCATTTACTGAGCACAGCAATAATGTAAATAAATATCCCAGGCATTGATTAAATGTCCAGTTAATGGTGCCTCAGTCCATCAAATATCAAGCCTGGACACTTGCTTAGGAAAAGTAAAGCATATCCTGCAAATGTAACACATTAAATCAACAAAAAATAATTCCAGGCAATAAAAACCCACTGCGAGCCTAAGGACAATGTAATGTTCTGTTATGGACAACATGCAGAAAACACTGGTGAGAACGCAGGGAATGTTAAGTAGCCTCTTACACCAGTGTGAGGACAGGGTTGAGGAAGTCAACCTGACCCGCCTACTTGTGAAGTCAAGTGTTGATATTGTGCAGCAACACTCCGATGACCACATGGCTTGATTTACAGCTTCTGGCACAATAACAATACTCACTCTCTAATTGCACCTTGTAAACAAAGTCGTACCAAATAGTTGTCACATACTGTTCTCGCTTAGAATTCATAGCCTGAACTTCATGTAATAGAAATTGATTTCGTTATTTGTCAAGTAAACTGTAGTCTTCCATATTACAGAGCACCATGTTATCAAGACATTAATCCATCCTCGTGGACAGTTGACATTAATGTATAGTTGCATGTTAAGTCAAATTAACATTTACACAAGCATATTTGTCAACTGTGGTTTGTATTCTGACTTTATGACTGTGTTTAATGAAGCATTTGCACATTTCAGAGTGAGTGAGAGAGTGAATGTTGTTTTTCGCTGAAGTATTTCAGCTATATGGCAACATCCTGTAACTGAATTTCACACAGGAAAACCAGTGGTTGACAGTATGAGCAACTATCCACGCCAGCTAGAGCCACAGTATCAGACAGATCCCAGGTTTAGAAGTGCTTAAGACAAACATCAGATACTTGGAATCCCCACCGACATGTCAGAGGGTATCAATGGGTATCAATGGAGATCCACTTCAACATCACTCTGTGGACAGGTCATTTGTTTGCTTGCTGTCAAACCCCACACTCAGCAATATTCCACCTCATAGAGTCTGGACCAGAAATTCAGTGATGACATCATGAGCATCCATCTACACAAATGGGATACATCAACCAAGTCAACAAGCCTGACCATCTGATCCTGTTAGTGGCCTCTTGGGGCGAGCATGGGTTGCTGAAGACCAATTTTAACCCGGATCTTGACAGGGTTGAATTCTGAATCAAATCGCAGCCACAAGAAATAACTTTACATATTGTCGTACATTTGGGCACCTCCAGGGCACAGCCATGTTGTATTAGTAACAGTGTCATGTTAGAACAACACTGATGGTAATTAAGAGTTCCCGGCCACCAACATCCAAAGGTCAAGGTCATCATGGTAGTTAAGTACAACAGAAATAATTTGGTTAATAACTCACAAAACAGTGCTGGAGATGGAACTAAATGGGAATGTTTGTTTGCTTTTCTTCCTTGTTTCTAAAAAAAGTATAGTTGCAATCATTCTGCTCCTGAGAACATATCTGCCTTTTTCAAAAGTTAGGGGAGATAATTATATAAAACATGGTGCTCAGGCTGGTTGCTTGTGACAATGGACGTAGTGGTGAATAGGTTCATGCTATCATCTAAAGAGATGAAGATTTAGACACGGTCACACTACGTAGCAAATTTGAGTTAACGTTCTGGAATATTTCTCTCCATAGATAAATATCCATATTTCTGTTCCAACACTGCTTTGATGGAACAATTTCCTGTTATATACAATAGATAGACATGCATCGTTCTTGATGACATCACAGAGTCGCTACATGTTCTCTAAGACAGTTACCATGGTTACATACTGAAGGAAGTACATCTAGGACTACAAGTTGTAAACTTGTAACCTGGGGATGCCCTCTGTGAAACTTTCCCAATCATTATGCTGTGCTGTTTGTTAAAGTGCTCTTTGACAATGATTAAGAAAATTTCCCAGACCATCCCACGTTTTATATCCCCATCTGGTGTTGTACAAGGGAGAAATATGTTCTTAAACAATAGCCCACAAGTGAAAATCAGATGCTGAAGCTGTTTTTTCAACCTATATCAGATTTGTTCCTCTCTGAAAATCCTGTTTTCAAACAAGATACAGCATCACAAGTCTACATAACTCACCTGTCCGGATTAATTTTGATTGTATTCCATGCACTTTAAACAGTTGCAACATTAATGTATTTCCTTGGGACTCTTCTGCAAGGATGCCCCATGCCAAACATTGTTGTTTGCGTATTTGATAGCACTACATGTTTGATAAACATCAGATCTTGACAACTATGTGAAAAGAAACTGTCATCTATCTTCACTGATAAAAGAAATTTGTTGGAGGTGCAATCTTCTGTTTGAGAACATGTTTCAAATATTTCTGGATGACTGATTCAACAGTCTTGACTGTTTGCTCAGAAGCCAGAGTGTGATGAATTATTTCCCCTTGTATATATACACCAGACAGGGTGGTAGATTCACAGTATATACCACAGATCCAGAAGTCTATGGCTAACCCAGTTGGAATCATATTACTTGTCATTCTGCTGCCATTTTTCAAAGCAAATGTCGTCATGCTATACACATTCAGGGGAAATACAATTTGTTCCTTCCTGAGTAAAAGGATGCAAACACAATTCTTACTTCACAGCGCTCTCAAAAAAATGAATTCTTGTAATGGTTAAACAGGAAAAAGCCCATTGTGCAATTTCCGACATTTGCTTTATAAAACAGGCAACAGAAAACATTGTGGAGCAGATTTGCCACACAGTGACAACTAACAGGCTGTAGTTATGACATTTCATTAACTAGTTTAACACTGTGTATAAAACTGACTACACTAATCCTAGACATGACCAAATCAACTGTCACAGTGTGTTGCATCTGCTAACTCTAGGAACTGAGTAAGATGCAGGCTCAGTAGATCATCATATCAAACCATTTCTGCCCAGGCCAGGATTGACAGCTCCATAATGAATACCAATAATGGTAGCAATATAATAGAGTCAAGAAAGAGACTGCCAACATCCTTTTGTACATGGGATTCAAGGGTCTATTTAAAGGGAATTTGGGACGCAAATAAAATCTATTTGGTACGTATATTCAACATTTAACAAAATATAACGTACATAATAATTCCCTTTACTGGTATGTATTATATTTTTTAAATATTTTTCTCAGTAATTCAATTTCAAATCATACCCTTTCATGAACTAGGAATGAGTTTGAAAGTTTTTCGTCTGCAATCGGGATTCTGCCTGAATTTTAAGAATTGTGTTAAGTAGTCTTTGGGATTCAGGGGTGAACAAATGAGACCGAGTGAAAAATTAGAGGGAATTTGGGATTCAGGGGAGGAGGGGATGTTTTCTGAAATGCCATATTCTAATATGATCATCTACTAAGCCTGTTCTGACACCTGGGTCTGGATGCTACAAGATATCATAGACACGGCATACCTAGATCTAACCTTCATATACACTGGGTACATGTGTGACACATAGCATACATATGTGACACATTGCATACATCTGTGACAAGTTGCATACATCTGTGATGTGATTGCAATATATTCCATACTTTAAGCTGTTAGTATTAAATATATGCAAAATGTTACTGGGATGTAAAAAATAATAATTTCGGAATGGTGTAAAAGTTGTTTGTTACAGGGCACAGGGATTGCGTTTTAGAAATTGGTTTAAAAAAAGATGTGGGTTGCTAAGAAAATGGACACTGTCCTATCAGAACGAACAGTTATCAAACTTAAACATGACAGGTTGTCATGGCGACATCTTAAGTTTACCCGAAGTGATGTTTTTGTGAATTTGGATGATACTTATGAAACTTTGGATAGCTATTTTTCAACTTGAAATCTAAATGATAACTTTTTAAAGACAAGAAATTCAGAATTTAAAGGGAACATATTTCCCGCATTCTAACATAGGAACACCTAGTTTCTGAGAGCAAACATAGGAGTACTGTGTAGAGTGATTGTCTGTGGCTGTAATGCATGGTCTGTCTATGACATAGTGCAGTAGATCCAGTGAGAGAGACTGACGGACGACGGACAGTGACACAGACATACGAGGTGGGCGACATATTTACCGTGGTAGAGATTGTGGGTAACTGCGATAACAGCTAGAAACAAAATAAATACACACATAGCCTTCAGTTCCAAAGTATCTAGCTTGGATGAGCATCTCTAGCGCTCTATGCTTATATGGATTCAACTCTCTCTGTATGAAGCTACCCAAACTAAAACCAACCACTCCTCATATCAGACCAAAGTTGCAATTCATAGAAACATGTACGCACATTGTACCAAGTTGGGATACATTACCGTCAGAGAAGATGGATTAATTTTGAAATTTTTTACCAAGTCAAATAATATTTAACGCATTGAGATACTTTCTGGGTGTTGATGAAATCATCCAACTTGATTCCATGTAGGCCTGGAAAACGTGCTGAAGAAGGTGACGTTTCTAATAAAACTGTGCCAACCATCACCTCAGTTCGTCATAGTTCCAAACAAATGAGAAATGTAAAATTCTATTGTAATAAATCTTTGTCCTGGAAAAAAAGCAATGTAAACAGTGACGCACAAAAGAACAAAATTAACAAAACAATACCTGGAAGCAATCTGACCATGCACCTTGACAAAGATACCCAGCATTATGCCATGATCAGCAGCTACCTCTAGTGTTCCATGGACTTATTGACTTCATAAAAGGGCTCCATTTCAGAACTTTAATTGTTGACTTATTACCTGTGGTTTACCATATCGCTGTGGTAACCCTATCTCAGTGCTGCTCCCTTAAAACAATCTAGATTTTGACTTGTTGCTACACGGAGCTGCTGACTGTGCCACAGTGTTTTCCTAATAGATTCCCGATCCAAATGTGCATCGTACTTTATAAGCTTCAGCAAAGTGCCAGCATCATGATCTAACGACAAATGCAACATGATTTACTTCATGAGACACTCGTCTTCACATACAAGTACCGGGTACTTATATTTTAGATGGAGCAACAATATATTTACTCATCGAGTTGGAAATCGGACTGGTAAAGATTTTTATCTGCAATAGCTCTCAACAATGACAGCCATAAATCTGTACCTTCTCGAGGATCCATACCGGTAAGTACATAGAAAGTTGCATGATCGAAAATAGATGTACACATATTTGAAGGCAAATCTATTAGGAAGCAAATTGTCTTGTGGTCTTCATGGGGTTATGATTCATGTACATACGGCAGGGTTGTTAGTGCCGATGTTCCAAATCGGGAATCTATTAGGTAAACACGATAGGACAGCCCGTAGTTGTGCATAGCAACATGTCAATATCAAGGCAGCACAGAGATACACTTACCTCAGCTATCTTTCCATATAGCTTTTACAAACGCATTCATAAAATTAAAGTAATGTGACATTATTCGGATGCTGCAAAACTACATGGAACACAAGGTGTCCTCCCCATCTGGCCGACACTGTCAAACTGCTTGTAGCACAACTACTCACACACCTACTCATGCCATGCTGAAAACATAGGACTGGGTACTAGACAGGAAACTCAGGGGAAACTATAATGCAGGATGGAAAACAGGACTGCATTCTTTACATACCAATAATCCAATGATCTTTAACATGAGGAAAAACAAATAATAACGGCTGGCTAGAAAATAAAACTTTGGTACAAAATTATCCCGAGAAATTCTGTTGGTTGTTAACACTCACACAAATACATTGAAGAGAAACCTACAAACAAATTGAGTCAACAGTCAGACACCAAGCACTCAAATTGAAAAGAATATATCCTGACGAAAAATTGGAAGCGTCATAACATTAATACGTCTCTTGAGTTAAATCAGTTGTCAGGAAAGATGTATTCAATTCATGAAAATGACCTACGGTGAAAGGTCTGCTACATGAGACATGAGAATACATGTGAATACATGTGAATTGATGTGATGAACGTTATGTGCCCTTGAAGGATGAAACCGACGATGAGGCAAGATGAAATATGTCTGACAACTGATCTAACACAGGAGCTTCACTGACATCCAACATCTAGTCTAACTGCCATTAAACAGACCTGAGATTTCTGCAGCAACAGTTAATAAAAATGTTCAGTCAATGTTTAAGAAGACAAATCATCTTTAGAAAACAAACTTGGAAATTCCACATATTTATAATTACAAATTGGGAATAATGGTAAAAACAACTGAGCACAACATATCTGTAGGAATGACTCCATTACGCCCCAAATTTTTAAATAAAAACTTTTAAAAAAAATTAAAAAAAGAACCTGCAAAAGTAACACCTAGAGTAGACTGTACAATGAAGTGCATGATAAATATTCACTTTACACATGATACAGTAGGTCAGATAACCATATGCAAGAGGTTGTGAAATACATCCGAGTGCATACCACACAGTCTCTACAGTGAAAGCTGTATTATAATCTAGCCTATCTGCCAATGCAACAAACACTAGCTTGGGTTAGTGGCATATGGCTGCCTACACATAGTTAAGAACATTAGGAATAAAGATTTGCTATAGTATGGGTAAACATCTTGTCTTTTTTTGAAAGTAAGACAAACATTGATTCATTGTAAACAGAACGAATTCCCTCCCTGGTAAATCACATCTACTGACAATAATACCTCGCCCTACAATAGTCAAAAACACATCTTACAATCTAGCAGTACTACCAACACAGAGTAAGGGAACAATAAATTGGGCGAAATATTTTGGCGTTCTTAAAGTTCCTAATAGTGTACCACCTGCTAACATTTTGTGAGTACACACACACAGCTTGAGACTGTGACATCTGTGAAATAAAAGGGGGCTGGCAACGGTAGGATATTGTATTATGTGGGTCTTTTGGTCAAAGGTTCAAACACAGGATTTGAAAGAGATATGTAGGATGCCCTGTTCACTTCAAAAGTTTCTTTAAGTCTAGATGAGCAAATGAAATAAAGCTTGGAAAACACTTGCAAAATCAGTAGACATGTGAGATGAGATGTCACAGTCATTACATTTAAAAGAATCTCTGAGTCTAGTTTACCTAAAGGATTACAACAAAACGTGGACTAACATCTAGTCTCTGAAATGAAAATATTTTACAGATAAATTATCATCTTAATAAAATACAACAAAAAGGAGCCCAGTGGCTTCATTTTGAGAAACTGCAGTAATCTAGACTTGCCAAATATTATAGACTTGCATGGGCTGTACGGGATCAATTTGTTTTCAGACAAAGCAAAATGCATCGTTCCCTTATGTTCGGTTGGTAGTACATGTGCTTCCTAAAAGAACAGTGCACACTCCTATTAATATTCTAATCCAAAATGACCAATATGTTAGTAGAGAGACCAACAATCTGAACATGACCTACCTTTGATGACTGAAATAAACCAAATATTCCCCCTCGTTTCCGACTCTTGCCAGAAACAGTGGATGTCTTATAGGTATTTTTCATGTCTGAAGGCGCTGATTTGGGTGTGGAGTGGTTGGAGTTTTCGGTGGCCTGCATGTTGCTCAGATCTTCGAATGGAATGTCACTGGGGACCTGAAACCCTGACTTGTGCCTCTCGATAACCATCTTTGAATCCTGAAAACATAAGATGAGGTCAGATGAAATGGAGTAAACGCCACGTCCAAAAGTATAGCACTTAAATAGCGACGTACAAGTGTGTGTGTGTGTGTGTGTGTGCGTGTGCGTGTGCGTGTGCGTGCGCTACTGCTACTCTGTACCCATGAACAGCTTGGACAGAATAGGTCTTCAGGAACACATGCCTGCCAGAATAGGCGACTATGCTTGTCGTAAGAGGCAACTAATGGGATCAGGTGGTCAGTCTCGCTGACTTGGTTGATGAATTGTGTAGATCGATGCTCATGATGTCAATCACTGGATTGTCTGGTCTGGACTTAATTATTTACAGACCGCCGCCATATAGCTGGAGTATTGCTGAGTGCGGGGTTAAACAACAAACAAACAAACAAACAAACAAACAAACGAACAAACAAACAAACGAACAAAGACTCTAACTCTGTCATCTACTTCCTGGTAAGCATAAATATATTCTTCTCTACTAGCAATATACAACACTACATTCAGACATTAAACAATTGTGCATGGTTGTATTGAAGTCTCACTTCTTTTGCATTAATGGCTGCTGCAGCCTTCTGCATGCCGTCGATGCAGGTGTTGATGATGGGGATGACATTCCTGTCAGCCTCTGCACTCTGACCTATAGCTGACTGGAGGCGGTTGATTCGCTTCTCGTCCATATCTTGTAAACCCTGAAACACACACAAATAAGCTTCTTCTTGTACAAAAAATGAAAGGGTAATATGATATAAAAAGTTGATTAAGATTTTTGATTTGATCTGTTTGTTGTTTAACGCCGCACTCAGCAATATGTCATAATTTTGGTAAACTTAAGATAACTTAGCACTAAGACAGCTTCAAGAAACGTAGCACTAAGACAGCTTCAAGAAACATAGCACTAAGACAGCTTCAAGAAACTTAGCACTAAGACAGCTTCAAGAAACATAGCACTAAGACAGCTTCAAGAAACGTAGCACTAAGACAGCTTCAAGAATGGGCTTAGATAAGCTCTTTATCACTATGAGACATTTATGACAATCTTAGTAACAGGACTGTGAACAGGCTGGCAGGTGAGCTACAAAAGGTCCTTGCTCAAACAAATTGCATACAGTAAACTACATTTATAACCAAGACGTTTATAACCAACTGACAGATATAACGAACAGTTTTTTTTTTTGTCCTGTCCATAAGCTGTATATGCTGCATATATGCTTATAACGAACTACAGTTATAACAAACTCAAATAAGTGGTCACTTTGACTTGGTTATGACTGTAGTTCACGGTATGTTGTGAATGATGAAGACGGGTGTACTACCTGAAATACTTGTGGCATGCCGGTGGAATAATACTCTCTCTGATGAGTATTGGTCTGCTGGAGCTGGGCAGCGTACTCATTTTTGCAATCCTCACATTGAGAAGCCTTCGTATTCATCACAATTCGATGCTGCAAAGTTAAGAAATAAAACATGGCAGTCCGAGCATGGTGAAACTTGAAATAGTAAATGTCCTACTGCAGTCCGTGCCAAATACTCTCAACCTCCTAGTCTGAAATTTTCACAACTTTCAGCTGATAATAGTATATACATAACACTTTTACCTATGTTCCATTTGAGGAACAAACCTGGAGCCTTCCTGTGACAGGAAGATGGTTCCCCCACTACACTAGCTCCCCCCATGTACATAGCCCTGTACTGAAGTCAAGCTCTACTCACACAAGACTGACACACACGGTGATAATTACCTTTTCCACTTCAGCTCGGGACAGATTGATGTCCGCATCAGCCTTCCTGTAATTGTCTAGAGCCTTTTCACTGTCTTTGAAAGCCCTTTCGTACTGTCGTTTTGACTGAAAGGTGTAGAAATAATGTCAACACATGTAAAGTTATTCTTATACCTCAGAAACAGTACACAACATACCTTTAACTCAGAGATATTACATAAATCTACATTTCTTCACTTGAGAACATACAATCAATACACAAATGACCATGTCATATTTATATTTACTACGATTTGAAAGCATTAATTACTTTCAAGAAATGCTTGATGTCATATTTGCATATTTGCATGCAATGTAATTACTCTGATCAGTTGTTTAAAACAAATTCCTCTGGACAATTTTTGTTTGTTTGTTTGTTGTTTAACGCCGCACACAGCAATATTCCAGCTATATGACCAGACAATCCAGTGATTGAAATCATGAGTATCGATCCATGCAATTGGGATACAATGACATGCATCAACCAAGTCAGAGAGCTTGACCACCCGATCCCGTTATTCGCCTCTTCCGATAAGCATAGTCGCCTCTTACGGCAAGCATGGGTTGCTGAAGATCTATTGTAGCCCAGATCTTCACGGGTCTCCTCTGCACAAACATCACTTCAAGTAGTGTAGTGTCTACCGCTGAAATGTGATAGCTGACACACAGTCTTGAGAGTTACCTCTCTTTGTTCAAGAACACGGAAGCAGGCAACCACATGGCATATGTAATTGAGACAAACACCTAAGAAAATAGAGCTTGCATAGCCTTGTACTTATTCTACAAGTTGGTATCTAACAGTACTCCCAATTGTCTCCCCTTGCTCAGGTGTCCCAACCTGTTGGTAACTCCCCACAGAGAAGTCACAGCCATGCATCTCACCTTATCTAACTGTTGGTATGACTGTTTAAGTGAATCTTGAATCCTTGTTCCTTCATGTAAATGCTGAAATGATAAACACACATCCATGAACACCCCACAGGAGCTAAGACATGAAAATGTGGCAGATTTTAATCATTATCACACACGCTTTATGGGGATTGTGTCCTGTTTGTTAATGTGTGGCCATTTCTATTTTAAGTGTGTACATATCCTATAGTTTGGTTGATCTCTGTAGGTTGGGAAGTAGGCCTGTAAGGGATGGATCTCTCCACCTTTTGGACATCTATAACTAATGTCTAAATGACACCTCTTTATATGTATCAATTATAAACAATAGGGTTTCTATGAGTTTTGTAAAAGCATGAAAACAATAGTCCATTTTTAAACATCTTTTAATGTGTGCATCTGTCAATAAAACAACTTAAAATGATTTTGGGGGTAAATTAACCAATGATCAACCAGACATTGTAACTGTTCTTAATCTGCATTGCATCCAGCTTCCCTTTTAAAATACAAAATTTGGTGTGTTATGATAAAGACTGTGTTATAATTAAGACTGTGTTATGATTAAGACTGTGTTATGATTAAGACTGTGTTATGATTAAGACTGTGTTATGATTAAGACTGTGTTATGATTAAGACTGGTTTTACGCCACTCTTAGCAACATTCCAGCGATATCATGGTGGTGGAAACCAGAAACCCACATTTTACCCATCTAGGGAATCAAACCTGTGCTTGCAACATGACGCTTAACCACTTGGCTACCCCATGCCCCTATTAAGACTTAGTCTGAAACAAGCAATCACCCTTTTCCTCTCCTGCCTGAGCTCCCCGATGAGAGCCTGCAGGTCTTTAAAGACGGTGCCCTGCAGGTTCTCAGCCACCATCTCATGCTGGCCCGCGATGTCATGCAGCTCCTTCACCATGTCCACAAACGCCCGCGACCACGTAAACCTGAAACACAGACCCACACATTAGTTACATCAGCCACCAGCTGTTTACTTATGTAATGTTTGTTGTAAAGTAGGACCATTTTGGCTTTCACTGTAAAGTTTTCCCCAAAACCAGCATCACATGGCTGGAGTATTCCCTTCCTGTAAAGTAAGACCTGTTTTCCCCAAAACCAGCATGCCATGGCTGAAGTCTTGCCTCCATGTAAAATAAGACCTGTTTTCCCCCAAACCAGCATCACATGGCTAAACGGATTTTCTTCAGACGCGACAAGAGCTGTTGAGATAAAAGACTACAGGATGGAAAGAGCTAGAGTCCCTACCTGACTGTCAGGTACATAGAGGGGATGTCATCCACCTGGGAGGGAGGGAGGGAGGGGGTAATACACAGCCCCACCCACACCTCCGGACAGTTGCCAGGAAACACAACTTTACACAGGTAGGTGGGGTGGATCATGTGGAGTTGCCATAGATGAAGCCAGGTAGGAACGAGATAAACACACTGGGGCAGCTATAGATACTGGTTACATCTTCACAGGTGAAATGTCAGTATAGAAGGACTGTCTGTGTAATTCCTTTGGGTCAAAGCCATTCCAGGATGAATAAAGATCCTATTGATGATTAGATGCAAGATGGAATGTTACTTAGTCACTGTCATAGCAGTGTTAGAAATTGGCCTTGACTAACTGCCCAATAGTTAAGGTATCATAAGGACTAGTAGAAATTTGCCCTTTTTAAGGGTTTTGCTAGATGTTATCATTATAAGGACTAGAGGACGAAAAACTGTTAGTTTCTACCGCTGCATAGGGTCAAGCCATAGGGTAATAGACAAGTCCTTGACCATGTCTGTATTATTACGAACTTTGGTATGAACAATCAGCAAGTGTTTAATTGTCCTCACATACTTAACACATTTATTGCTAAGCAGGAGCAGTGAGTGAGTCAGTAAGTGAAAGTTGTTGTATGGTACAGAAAACAATACTACACCTCTACCAGTCTGTAATAAACTGAAGGTTAGAACTGGAGGTTGATAGCATGAGCACCAATCCATGCCACTGGGCATACTGACACTGAGGCAGGCCATCTCTCCAGGAATTAGTTCTTCAACCTGTTTCTTTGAGATCACTCACAATGTCTGTTTTACTGGATTAGACCTCTTCAGCCCAGTGAAGTCTCCAGCCCATATTCATATGTAGCAGCCATTGTGATCACCCAATCTCCAAAATAGTCCTTTTTGTCAGTTGTTTAACGCCGCACTCAGCAATCTTCCAGCTACATGACGGCGGTTTGTAAATAATCGAGTCTGGACCAGACAATCCAGTGATTGACATCATGAGCATCAATCCACCAGATCCTGTTAGGTGCCTCTTACGACAAGCATAGTCGCCTTTTACGGCAAGCATGCCAAATTAGTCAGTTCATACAACACAGGGTACTGAAGGCCAAAGCTCAAACCTTCACTGCATCACTGTTACAAAGCTTTGCATGTTCCTGTAATGTTTTGTCAATCAGGTATTTTCTTTGTGTTGCACACACTTAGTCTGATTACACCATCACAATCTATCAAAACCAAAACCTAAAGCCTGTGTGTTTTATTTCATATGAAAACAATCAACAAAGAGGACGAAAGAAGCCAGCATTGCCTAATCACCAGCCTACTACACAAGATAAACAGGATTAAATTGCTTTTTATGATTACGCCGGTGTGGAGACTGTACTGGATGCCAGGCCAGGTTCACCAGCTGTTTCTTATCATAGCCTGGAGTTGGTAATAATGTAGAAGGCACAGAGCTTCAGGTGACTATCTGCCCTGGCAGGGAAGAGGAGGAGGTATCTTCAACACAAAAACCTGTGTCAGCAGTTTCTGGTTGACTGCAGCTAGACATGATATGGGTGTAAGAGGCTTGTCTTCTAGGTTGTTTAAACATATCAGGCCAGTTGAAGGCTTTTCAGAGCTTCCTGGTGAAAGTGAGTGAGGTGGGTTCTACACTATTTTTAGCAATATTCCAGCCATATCACAGGAGGGTACACCAGCAATAGGCTTCACACACTGTACATGCATGTGGGGAACCCAACCTTGGCCTTACAAGATGGACCACCTCCGAGGTCTTGTGGTAGAGCCTACGCCCGGAAAGCAGAAGGTCTGGGATTCGATCCCAGCCGCGTCATACCAAAAGAAGTTAAAAGATGGTACTTGTTGTTACAACCCTGCCTGTTGCTTGGCATTAAGGGGCTAAAACAAGGACTAGTTGGTTTGGAGTCAGTATGCTCTGTCTGAGTCGGGTATCCATGTTAAAACTATGGCATGGTATCTCAGTGGGCTAGCACTATAAAATCAGCATTAGTCCGGACTAGTACAAGTGTATGTGCACGCTCGCACACAGCGATATAAGTGCAATCATCTTGGACTCGACGTTAAATCCCATTTGACCCCACCTTTCAGGATGACAAGTGAACACTCTAACCACTAGGCTACCCCACCATCCCTAGTATGGTAAGAGGCAGGATACAAACTGTGGGAAGGCTTGTCTGTAAACAAGGAAATAAAGTGGTGTGGCCTTATATTGACTGCATGTTGAAAGGGACCAATAGATAAGTAGGTCAACAGGGGTTAATAAGAATATTCATCATCAACTGTTCTTACTGTCCTCCATCTTCAACTTTTAAAGTACACACCAACACTGTAACATAATTAGGCAAGGTACGTGCTAATCCGCAGCACACATGGCTGTCACAGGTAAGCTGATTGTGGTCACTCCATGAGGTCAAATTCTCAGCCAGATAATCAGGACCTCAGGGAGTCGCCCCTTTCTTTATATCATTGTACTTTAAATGGGCCAGATGACCATGTGACCTCGGGGAAACGCCCCTTTTTTTATACCATTGTACTCACATGGGAAAGCCGAACTATACAATAGGTGTAAAATGTTCATTCTGATTACCAGCAGGATGCAGTTTACCTGCATACCTTATCTGTGTGGAAATCTACCTCAGCAATTGTACAATAAATACGGTTATTCTGTATATTAGCTGCATTTTCACTACAACCCATGTTGTTTATTTTCAAAAACAATTGCGACTACAATGTCAACAATACTGTAGAAAGATGTCTCTCTGTTTCTAACATGAAAAAGATTATGAATCATATTTGATATATAACCTTCACATACCGCTAACACAACCCCCTTTCTTCTTGTATCCAGTAATTATGGCCAATAGAGGCTGACCACTTGCTTGTCGTGCCACGCCCCCTTCTCACCATTATGGTCACAATTACAGCTGACCACTGGTGATTTAAGTGCCACGCCCCCTTCTCACCATTATGGTCACAATTATAGCTGACCACTGGTGATCTAAGTGCCACGCCCCCTTCTCACCATTACAGTCACAATTACAGCTGACCACTGGTGATCTAAGTGTCACAACCCCTTCTCACCATTACAGTCACAATTACAGCGGATCACTGGTGATCTAAGTGCCACGCCCCCTTCTCACCATTATGGTCACAATTACAGCTGACCACTGGTGATTTAAGTGCCACGCCCCCTTCTCACCATTATGGTCACAATTATAGCTGACCACTGGTGATCTAAGTGCCACGCCCCCTTCTCACCATTACAGTCACAATTACAGCTGACCACTGGTGATCTAAGTGTCACAACCCCTTCTCACCATTACAGTCACAATTACAGCGGATCACTGGTGATCTAAGTGCCACGCCCCCTCCTCACCATTATGGTCACAATTACAGCTGACCACTGGTGACCTAAGTGCCACGCCCCCTTCTCACCATTACAGTCACAATTACAACCGATCACTGGTGATCTAAGTGCCACGCCCCCTTCTCACCATTATGGTCACAATTATAGCTGACCACTGGTGATCTAAGTGCCACGCCCCCTTCTCACCATTACAGTCACAATTACAGCTGACCACTGGTGATCTAAGTGTCACAACCCCTTCTCACCATTACAGTCACAATTACAGCCGATCACTGGTGATCTAAGTGCCACGCCCCCTTCTCACCATTATGGTCACAATTATAGCTGACCACTAGTGATCTAAGTGTCACAACCCCTTCTCACCATTACAGTCACAATTACAGCTGACCACTGGTGATCTAAGTGTCACAACCCCTTCTCACCATTACAGTCACAATTACAGCCGATCACTGGTGATCTAAGTGCCACGCCCCCTTCTCACCATTATGGTCACAATTATAGCTGACCACTGGTGATCTAAGTGCCACGCCCCCTTCTCACCATTACAGTCACAATTACAGCTGACCACTGGTGATCTAAGTGTCACAACCCCTTCTCACCATTACAGTCACAATTACAGCCGATCACTGGTGATCTAAGTGCCACGCCCCCTCCTCACCATTATGGTCACAATTACAGCGGATCACTGGTGATCTAAGTGTCACAACCCCTTCACATGACTTTTTGCATGGGTGCCTCCTCATCTGAGCTGCCATTCCTGTGACTCCATTCTATATGGTAATGGACAGAATAAGCTTGCTCTGTGATCACCTGTGTGATGGAGGAGAGATTGTGGTTATCCTACAGAGATCAGCAGTGGGCCATGCAATACTGACATCTGACACCCAGTGCTGCTAACACACCAGGATGTATATCAGAACAGTTCTGTGAACAAGAAAATAAAGTGAAATGGCCTTATGACTGTTGACTGCATGTTGCGAGGGACCAATAGATAAGTAGGTCGACAGGATTAACTAAAAAAAATAAGAATGTTCATGACCAAGTACTGTTTCTCATTTTCTTCCATCTCCAACTTTTAAAGTACACACCAACATTGTAACAGGTAAGCCTATTGTGGTCACTCCATGAGGTCAAATTCTCAGCCACATCACCATGTGATCTTGGGGACACGCCCCTTTCTATATATTATTGTACTTTGAGTGAGTGAGTGTGTGAGTGAGAGTTTTTATTGTATGTAGGTCATTCCAACAATTACATGAAAAGAATATGACATGTTGACCAGAAGTTGTAAAGTTTATCGATATTGTTGGTTATAGCAGATTCACATTTTGTTACATAATAGTATTCTGACAGTTTAAGTATTACTGGACTCACATACTGCCATACATCTGACACCCAGTGTACCCAATACACCGAGCTGTACATCAGAAACATTCCTGTATCTGCATCAGTCAACAAGACTTCCATATCAACACCAGGTGTTAATGGCCAATGTTAAAGTTGATTAATGCATTTAAATAATCCATAAAGTAAACATCAATACTGACTAAGTGGCAACCCATCTGCTGGCAAATTGTTGTCGGCAGTGTTATCATCAAGTGTAACAAATACTGATTCAGTGGTGCCACTGTCGGTTGTCACGTACAGCATGTTGATGGTGATGTGGTGGTGGTGGTGTGGTGGTGGTGTGATGGTGGTGTGATGGTGTGGTGGTGGTGTGATGATGTGATGGTGTGGTGGTGTGATGTGGGGTAACAGAGTTGAGTTACGTAGGTCCGAGATGGAATGTTGTATGACAACATTCTGTATATGATAGCGGACTGTAAATAATCGAATCTGGACCAGACAATCCAGTGATTGATATCATGAGCATCGATCCATGCAATTGGGATCGATGACATGCATCAATCAAGTCAGCAAGGCTGACCACCTGATCCCGTTAGTCACCTCTTACGACAAGCATAGTTGCCTTTTACAGCAAGCATGGGTTTGCTGAAGACCTATTCTACCCCGAGATGGGTTGTGCTGCGTGCAGTTGTGTAGTTGACAGGGGTAGGCACCATGGGTCAAATCTAACGAGTCCACAGCTTATTTCGGAATAGTGGTTATGTAAAATTGCTAGATTATGGTAGAAAACAACTTAGTGAGTCCCTATGGATTTTTACTTCTCTCTGACTAACAGACAAGAGGTCGTGTCTATCCCGAAGTGTGGGGGGTCTGTAGTGTGGGGTTGTGTAGAGTGAGGTGTGATAATGCCATGGTGAGTTGTGTAGTGTGGGATCAGTGTATTAAATTCAGATAAACTCAAGTCAGGCAGCTGAACTGGCAAGTCTAATAAATATGCCTTAAAGAAACGTGTTAGTTTCAAAAAGGTGCAGTGAAAAGCCAAGTGTCAGGCTTGATAACAAAGTACCCGCTTCTAATGTCTTTTGTTATGACATGGCCTGGGAATCGAAGCACTGACCTTTCACTTTCCAGGCTGATGCTCTATCAATATGCCATAGCTTTTGATTGTCTATTGAAACCCCACCCCTACTAAGAACGAAAATTTACGTTAAAGTCCACATTTTACTGTCTATATTAGATTGTTTTTAAGCCTATAAGGGGTGTATAATTGGTTAGTAACTATTATCCAAAAGGTTTAGTTTCAACGAAGTGTGAACAGCTTGTCCCCCCCCCCACCCCCCTTTAAATCGCTGGGGGTGGTTATCACAGTGCAACATTGCTGGTTACTAACTTAACATGCCATTGTCTTCAGGCTATTTCAAAAAGCATGAGTGACTGAACTGTGTTAAAAAAAGCTTTAAAAAAGCATTTCAGTTATATCCCAACATGTCAGCTTCAGGCAGAAGATGCAACATCGTCTGGCATCTCAAGTGGTCTCTCTCTTTGCCATCTCTATGACGTGATCTAACATGGTTTTCACATTAAGTCAAGGTAACAAATCGTAGAGTATTATTGTGTCAATATCTAGCAGAAAATAGTGTTGATACGATTGGGTATTATGTCACGATTACATTCTATCGATATGAAACGCTCATATGCAAGAGCCATATCTCAAACCACAAACCAACACTTTTCTGCACGAATATTCAAATCTGTCAGGTTATTGGCACCATCTATAAAATGTCCGCTCTTTAATAAAGCAACCCAATCAGGTCTAAAATCGTGTTGTTCCTGCCATGAGATTGACTCGGCTAATTGTTGAACTTGCGATCAATACATTGGAACAGACGGAACCATCGATAAAACTGCAGTCTTTCAGGCCATAAATCTTCCAAGAATATTGGCTTTACTTCATCCCACCAGACCTCTAAAAGACATATACTGATTTCATTAGATTTTGTCCCTTGTGAATTGACATTCAACTCGAAAGTCATAATGAATTCTTCAAAGGAATAAAGGTGACAGAAACCTTTAGATATGACAACGAGTTCAAATGCATGTTTCCGTGTAGTATTTACTCTTCATGGTCGTCTTGACATGGCAGCTGAGTTTCCCACACTATCTTCCTAACAACCAGTGTCCGAAATAACTGCCTGCACGTGGCTGGTAACCTTTTTGCCGGGCTGCATGAAATTTTCCTCCACCTGCCTGACTTTCTGGCACATAAATTTATGACTACTTTCGTATTCAGTTTTATTATGACTCCTTGTAGATTCTCAAGTAATTGTTTGCATTAATTCACCTGAATCGAGACGCTATTTGTCTCTAATTTTGCTTGGGGTGATTTTTCAATATTTATTATGTCTGAGTGCGGGCAGGTAACTTTGAAGATGGGCAGGAAACACTGATGGGTCACCTGACCGACTGTCCTGGTTGGGTTTTAAAATAATTTCAAACAACTGAAAAATCTTTCTTCATGACAAGCTATTACCCTCGTGTTCAGTATAAGTCTACCTTGTCATAAAAAAATAGTAATTTAAAAAAATAATTAAAAAACCAATCAGTCAGATCCACATTCAGGGCACCATTGAAATGGAGAGAGGCAGTGATGGAGCTGACAATCTGACCAATCAGACGGTTTAAGTTGATGTAGACTGATCAGTATAGCAAGTTTCAACAAAAAATATTCAACAGGTTAAGAGTTCTGCTCTGGAAATGGAAAATGGACAGCTGACAGACGATGATTGTTACACAGATTATGATAGGTAATACATGTCACACAAGGGTACAATGATTGTATGTGAGCCCACCATCAGAGCATGGCTCCTGGCATGAACAAAGTACAATTCCACACGTGTCATACTTACACATAATCATCTTCTTCTTTCTTCCGTGGTTGATAACTCTTCACTAGTTTTCTGAAACAAACAATGACAACAATAACATGATTATTTCAATGTGGTCTCAGTTGAAGTCATAACACTCACAGCAATATTGAAGAACATCAAGGCTGCAGACATTTGGGTTTCACTACGGCAGTTTGTGACTATATTCAAGTATGATTACGTCATGCCTCAATAAGGGGTGGTCAGGAAGCCTAGTGGTAAAAGCATCCGCTCGTCACACCAAAGACCCGGCTTCGATTCCCGACATGGGTACAATGTGTGAAGCTCATTTCTTGTGTCCCCCGCTGTGATATTGCTGGAATATTGCTAAAAGCTGCGTAAAATCAAACTCACTCACTCATGCCTCAATACAGGATACATGTATATATACTGAACCAAAACAGTTGGGGGATCATGAATATTTTGGGGGATAGTGAAATTGTGTGCTCAGTCTTCACTAAATTCCCCCTGGCTATCGATATAGACTATAGAGATCGATAATTGTTTGTTCCAATCTGATTTTGAATACATTTGTTGTTGAATTGGTTGTGAAAGCATCATAAGGGTATGTACAAGGAATAATGAGAGTAATTTCTGAAATGAGTCGATATGTGATGTGTGCTTAACTAGGAGTCAGACACACAGGATGAGACAGTGCTCAACTGGATTAAACATTGAACAAAAGCAGGGCTCCCTTTCACAAAGTGAAGTGTTGTTAACAACGTACTCATCAATATTCCAGCTATATTCCAGATTGACCACCCGATCCCGTTATCGCCTTCAACGCCAAGCATGGGTTGCTGATGACCCATTGTAACCCAGGGCTCGCAAGTTACAAATTATATCAATTACAAAATACAATTTCACAATGAATCTAGTCAGAAAAGAATATGTACTTGGCCACTCCTAAAACGGCATTGTTCAATATTAAAATATACTTAACCAAGGATTAGTGCTATAAATGGCTATACAAAGTTATTATTGTTCAAGAATGAGATCTGAAAATGAGTGAGTTGGTCAGCTAATAGTTGAATTGACCAGCTTCAAGATGGTGTGCAGTGACGAGGACACCATTAATCAATCAGTGGGAGTACACGCTGTCACCTCGCCATGATGGCTTGCACCTACATCAAACACACCTACCCCTGCAGGGCTCTCCCACAGCCTATCAAATACCCAGGAGTAGTACCTGATTGAGTACTGTGTCAGTCCACACAGAGATCACAGAGTGTAGTAATTGTCACCTGCATCGGAAGGGTTTCCAAAATGAAAAGACTGCCCTTATCAATAAATGGCCTGTATTTTAACAAGCTGAAGACACAAGAAAAGTATGAAATTCCATAACCTCTATTGTAAACTACATCAGATTTTGAAAATCAAAAGACTGCCCTTATCAAATGGCCTGCATTTAAACAAGCTGGAGTGAGTGAGTGAGCATTGATCCCCGCAATTGGGATCCATGACATGCATCAACAAAGTCAGCAAGCCTGACCACCCAATCCTGTTAGTCACCTCTTACGACAAGCATAGTCACCTTTTACGGCAAGCATTGGTTGCTGAAGATCTGTTCTACCCCGGATCCTCACGGGTTTCACTGAAACCACGATGATAGCTAACTGTTGGGCTTATCGTTGGCACAGGCACTATGAGTGTCCCAATGTAGGTTACAGTGTCTTATGGAGTCTGCCATCTACCTAAGCCACAAGCAATCTCAATCAATATCTTAAATATCATCTTAATCTCAACCCAACTATCCTTAGCGCTTAGATTCCCTTTCCAATCAAGAACCCTTTTACAATCATTAGGGTCAACACCCATTTACAATCATTAGGGTCAACACCCATTTACAATCCTTATGGGTAACCCCCCCCCAGGGTTTTACTGGATGCAAGGTATAGCATCCTACATGCAAACAAATTGTGAATGGGTGCAAATAATACTCACTGTGAGTCCTGTTGGACGCAAGAAAGTTTGACTGTGTCAATAAACTTATCAACATTGCAGACTGCATGTCACATATAAGTGATATTTCTTTTCTCGTAAGAAATACACTGAAAAGATCAAGATGGCAATGGGAAACTTCTTCAGTCTAACATTAGAATCCCTATCTATAACAGGCTAAAAGTTTCTGATCATGTGCAATGGCTTGACATCCAGAAAATCTTGGAGATCGAGTGAAGCATGCCACAGGTTGACAGCCTGGGACCCAAATATTTATGCCATGGACCCCCAAAATCTATTACTGAGTTCTTTAGAGGCCAAAATAGGTGGACCCAGGTAAATCCCTGACACGCTTTATAATTTTCTGGTTAACATCCCTTACAAGCCTTTCGGTTAACACCCCTTTACCGTGATCTGGTTAATACCATTGATGACCATTAGGGTTAGTTGTTAGTTAGGGTTGGCTATCCCACCTTTTGTAGCGAATCTTTCCTGAGGTAATCCAATGAAACCCATTGTAATCCGAGGTAACTCTGTATTCTTATCAACAAAATATGTACCTCTGGAACATTCTAATTGTATTTCTTCTGGCTCCAACAGCATTGATGACTGTTGGAATCACACAAATCAGACAACTATCGAAATGCATCAATATGGAATAGCCTTCAGAAATAAGGTATAAGGACCAAAATTTTCAATTAATTATTTCAAAGAATGACTTTGCAACAAAATCAATATGAAGGCATCAAGTGACTCTCAAATTCCCCTCTTCTGAACATGCAAACTCCTCAGGCATTTCTAAATCGGTACAAAATTACAAATTAATTCTATTAATCTACAATTTCTTTTCCTTTTCAATTGTTCAGCCAATGGCCACCAAATACTTCCACTTCATTCTGGAGATGCCTGGCTAAGAAGCAAGGACAACAGAGAATGAATATCATCTGGCTGAATACAATTGCAGGTGTGGACTACATTCCAGTAGTAGCCAGACAATGGAGTGTGTTCCTGCGAGGTGTACCAAATTTCCAGACCCCATCGGCTTCAGCATGGTGCAACCAGCCATATTGTATTGGCTGAAGGCCACACATAGTCAGGATGCTCCGCCATTACGACCACTTTCACTCGGACCCCCAGTGGCCATACTAGATGTATGGCAAGGTGTTTGACTTGGTCACCCATATTTGTCTTGGCCTCCTTTAACAATGTTGATTATGCTAAAACAAAAGCTGTATCCCTCTGGGAATATAAAAATAATCCACAGTGCTAACATGCTTCTGATCTGTCCATCAGGTAGTGTTGATTCACAAGGCTGTGAAGTATTGGTCAAGTATTACAATAGAGTCATACAATAACGGACAGTGTGTTGTCCGATCTCACTTGACAATATGTCAGCCTACCATGGTGGGTTGGTAATTCTGGGAGAAAGACCTGAAGTTACCATGTATTGAACATAGGGTGAGGTGAGGTGAGGTGAGGTGAGGTGAGGTGAGGTGAGGTGAGGTGAGGTGAGGTGAGGTGAGATTAATCCTCCTGTTTAGGTTTTAAATTGTATATCATGTTATTATGCGTGCCAAATTATTACTGTAATGTTTGCATTGTTCCGAGTGGGCACTTAGTTCAGAAAATGTTCTTCTTTCTTCTTCTAATCAGAACTATCTATCAAACATATTTTCAGTCAGAACTCTTCAGACAAAATGTGTGAATAATAAGCATGAAAACAACTTGAGAAAATATGTCCAGAGTTGATGAGAAGGCTATATTTGTGCCCTGACTGCAATAATTAGACTTGCCCAAGTCTTGGAGGAAATAACTTTCAGAAATCATAATTTCTAGATTATATAAATAATAAGAACAAGTTGTCCCTATAAGAGACTTGCTCATTGATGTACTATCCGCTTATCAAGACTTGCCTATAAGGATATAATAACTATACACCCATGGACTTGTCATTCAGCACAGCCATTGAGCAAGGCTAGGCAATGATGTGAATCATGACTTATGACCCCAGGCACAAGCTAACCAACCCATCACCAGGTCAGTCATGCAAGGAGCCTGTGGTCACACTTGATGCTTCAACCAAAATATCTTTGTCCAAGGACAGTCATGTTTGTTGTGTAAAACATCGTAACTCCAGGACACATTCTCCATGTTGAACAAAGGTGTTTGGGCTGTATTGGGTGGGTCCAAACAACAAAGATACACAACAGATTTTAATTACAAATCTTGCATATGGTAGATGGTTCTTGAGCGGGTTTAGAAGCTCGGCTACCCTGCAGCGATGTACATCCAAACCAGCTGCTCCGGTCCCCCAAAGCTGGGTTGAGCCGACATCGGTCCAAGATTACACACACACAACATTTTCACTCAAATCTCAGTGTTGTTTAGAATAAAAATTAGAAAAGTACGACAGGAAGGGCGGCAATGGCTTTTTCAAAGTTATGTCAAATGGAAAAGTTGACATATGGCACCAGAGTGGGGAAAGGTAAACCTCATGATGGCCAACCGCTGTTCAAATATTGGACCAATGTGTAGAAGTGGTCCATCGTCAGCACACTGCGATTGGGAGAATGAAGAGATGCTGTTCATCTGTTTATAAAAAGGCAATTGTATTTATTTTCCATGGCAATGCCATAGCAGTGGGGACAACATGACTATGACAGTGTGTATTTATTTAAACACAACTACACTTCATCAGTGGGGAACAAGTATACTTTGACAATGTGTATTCATATGCCACCATGATCATGTTTCTGTGTTGAAAGCCCACCCTGAAATATCCCAGCTATTTGATGGTGGCCTGTAAATAATTGAGTCTGGACCAGACAATCCAGTGATTGATAGTATGAGCACCAATCTACGCCACTGGGGTAGGAGGATATGCAATCAACCAAGTCACAGAGCCTGACCACCCAATCCACCGAGTTGCCAAATACGACTAGAACAGATCCTATTCTAAACCAGAATCCCCAAGGGGGCAATAGCTTTCAGCCAGCACAGGTTCTATTCTAACCCGGAATCCCCAAGGGAGCAATAGCTTACAACCAGCACCTTGTTTTATCCCCTTAATACCACTAGACCATGGAGGCGGT